CCTACGACCACCTCCATGTACTATGCAAATTACTGTAGTCAGTCACTCAAAGACAACACACACAGCTCGCTGGCAACGTGGCTGCTTGTGTGGGTTTCTGGCTTACTAGCATTTGCGTGGTCTCGCATGTGCACAGTGCGACCGGCTAAAAAGTCTCCGTTCACAACACTTCGTGTACATGTACAACCGGACCTATGGTCTTCCAACAAAAGAGATCGAAGAACTTCAACACGATTTAGACGGCGAAGAAAAAGAAGCCGAGCCGGAGCCTGACCACAAGTACTGCGTGCCGATGATAGCTAAAGCACGATTCAAAACTGAGTCTTGAAGCCACGCATCGTTCATTTCATGCATGTACATGTATTTGGAACCTCGGATCTTCAGAGCTGATGAACCTCCGAGAACAAAGCTATCTCCTGTTTGCGCCCCCTTCTGGGCTCTTTGAAGGTGTGGTCACTGGTGGATCTCCTAAGATGCACTGTCAAGGGTGAATCCTCGAGAAGTTTCCAGTGGTGGCTTTGTCCTTGTCTCCTCTCCTCTTCTCACACAATACAACAAGAAAACAGCAAAAAAACAAACAACCACAAGCAACACACAACCAAACATCAATCATTTGCAACATGTCGACCATGAAAGCCACTCAGTTCAAATTTGGAGGAGCCTACTCCACTGTTGAGATTCCTAAACCAACCCCAGCCAATGATGAAGTCCTGGTCAAGGTCATTTATTCTGCCCTGGATACTGCCCATGATGCCTGCATCAACAAGGAGATGATGGGCTACTTTACGCATGCCCTGAAGGAACCCCTTTATCTTGGATATCACTACTCTGGCATCATTGAAGCCACAGGTTCTGATGTGAATGATATTGCCAAGGGCGCGGAAGTCTTTGGTCATTTGCAATATGAACCTTCTCAGGTCCAGGGATCTCTTGCGGAATACATCACTGTGAAGCGCTCTGATTGTGCCATCAAGCCTTCCAATGTTCCCCATGCCACTGCGGCTGCTTCCACAACAGAAGCAATCACAGCCTTGCAAGCCATTCGCGATTTTGGTGGATTTCAAAAGGGCCAACGAGTACTCATCAATGGTGCTGGTGGTGGCGTTGGAAGTGCTGCTGTTCAGATTGCCAAGGCATTGGGAGCCAGTCACATTACTGCCATTTGTGGTACCAAAGATGTGGCTCAAGTCCGTAGCTGGGGTGCGGACCGTGTATTGGACCGTACCACTTCTCCCAACTATGTCAAGAATCTTGTAGAGGAGGAAGCACAGTACGACGTTATTTTGGATGCCCCCAACATGCTCCCCCCTGGTGGCACCCGTCTCCTGGCACCCAAGGGAACGATTGTGAATACAATTCCAACCCTCACCTTTCTGTGGAACAAGATCAAGTTCTTGTTCCGTTCCAAGAATGCTGGGTTTGTAGAATGCCATAGCAAGGAGGAAGACCTGGCATTGATTGGAAAATGGTTGGATGAAGGAGACTTGACCATTCCAATTGACTCTACCTTTCCTATCAAGGAGATGGATGCAGCCATGAAGAAGCAAGCTGGAAAGAAGAAGGGAAGAGTTGTTATCAAGGTTGCTGATGGATGGAAATAAGTCAGAGAAATGCATTTCACTTACATGTTGTCATTGCAGGCATGGCTCACTCTGTGAGATCCAGAGACCACTGGTAAATGATTGGTTGTGTGTCATCAGAAGTTGGTAGAAATTTAAGTTCGTATTAGAAGAGAACTTGTACATGTACATGTATGATAGGTTACCCCTTATGCCGTCAGCTGAAAGAACCAAAAGAGGCTTGCACTTTGAGATTGCTGAGCTATCCCTGTGGTGTAAAACACGCTGGCTTGTTGGGCCAACCAATGCACAAAAGAACAACAAGGAATGCAAAGGAACTTTCGTCCTCGACCCAAACCACAAACAAAACAAGATCGCGAAAGTGGATCACTATTCTTTTTTGTAAGGTATCAATCATTTGTTGACACAATGGCGTCGTCTCTCTCACAATCCTACTTTGACGAGACGGTGGTAGAGAATGAGGAAGTGTTTGACCTCTCAACTGAGGAAGCAGTAGTGGAAACCATAGACCAGTTGTACAAGCAACAGACCAACAATGCCAACAGTAGTAGCCATGCCGGCAGTTTGGAACGATGGAAGGAACTGCAACGAGAGCATGGAATCTCATTGACTCATCCCGAATCGAAACAAGGAATTCAAGACCGCGAAGAACAGCGTGTCTTCCAGGCGTTGCTTCAAGAAGAGAGTTGGACTGTCGATGTTGTGAATCAGATATTGGACATTTTGAAGCGAGACAGTACTCGCAATGACGAGTCAGCGTCGTCTGCCTTGTTACTATTGGGTCAATTATTTTGGAATACAAATACCATGGTGGATAATGATGACGAGAATCAAGCACCGACCGGTAAGTCGAGCGCCATGAACAAAATGGCCCAGTTTGCCAATGACAACGACCAAAACGATGCTCTGGCAGTGGCATTGCCGGTAGCCCTGCAGGCCCTTTCCGTGGGTCCGCCATCCTTGCGGCGTACACGACAAGATCAAACACTCCACGAGTTTGTAGTTCCAGTGAATGGATGGGGGCGTCTCTTCCAGCACGAAATAATATCGGTCACGACGAGTCGAATTTTGTGGCTCCAGCTGATTCATCAAGTCTGTCAGGGAAATGAACCCAACAAAAAGTACTGCAATTCCAAACCAATGTTACAAGCATTGGTGACAACGTTAGATTCTTCTTTGCAAGCAGACAACGACAAAAAAGACAAAGATCGTCCACTCACCGAGGCTACGTGTCAAGTGTTGACAGTCTTGTGCCGGTTTGATGACTTTTCGTCCCAAGCGACAAAGGGACAGGCCACGGACAATACCGGAATGGTCGTCTCGTCAGCACATTCTACCGTGACTACATTGGGAGGTATGGGCATTGTCTCCATTTTGCAAGCATGGTTGAAACAAGAAGAGGGGAACCTTGCTGTGTCAGTAAAAGACGGCAATGCCAACAATCCAACGTTACTGTTAGCACTATTGCAATGCCTCCGAAGTTTGGCCATTCAAGATGAGATGGTGGTCCGCATGGTCTCGGTTGGATTGTTGGAGGTGCTGCAGTCCGTATTTCAACAATTCTGTAGTGTGCACCATGATGAGCAACAACAAAAAAACGATCATCATGAGAGCGAGAAAGAAACCATGCGCATGTCCATTTTGACAGCACTCATTGGCTTGTATCGCAACCTTTCCGCAAACGACGAATTGAAGACCACCTTGTGTCGATCACCGCAACAATCCATTGTGGGACCATTGATTGCCACACTACAGAGTCTCACCGAGCCAACGACGACGACAACTACTTCTACTAGAACGGTTTCAGCTGGCACCAAAGCTACATTGACCAAATTGCAGGAGCACGTATGTGCTACTTTGGGGAGCATGGCGTTGCGGCAACCTCAAAACGCTCAAAAGATCGTGGAAGAATATCAGGGACATTTAGTGATTCTCAAAGCCATGCAACAATCACAGCATTCGCCTCTGGTGCAACGGCAAGGTTGCCTCGCCATTCGCAATTTGGCCAGCCGAGCGTCGGATACGACCCGACAAGCCCTCTTGGATGCCGGAGCCGAACCGGTCCTCCGGCAAGCCGCGACCTTGGGAGCCGTTGACGAAGCGTATGCCGCCCTGCGAGATTTGGGGTGTCATGCGGTGCTGCTGCAGTCCAATCCAGAGACAGGAGAGCTGGAACGTCAACCCATGTTTGGAGAAAAACCATTGCAATTCCGACCAGTGTATGACTGATTCGTTCGTTCATTCAAGAATGTCTACACACAAGTGAACCAGAACAACGCAACGGCACTTGCAGATTGAGTTACTCCCGTTACCCTATTGTTTTAGCCATCTTTAGTTAACCCAATTTTCCCACTCGCTCCCTTGCAAGTGTTGAAACACCCTCTCCTTTTGCCCGCGAGATTGCAGCTTTTTGGACGGCTTCTGGTCGCAGTCAATCAGCTTGACCTCATATTGGAACAAAGCTACTAGTACGAGACCGCCCACATCATTGTCGGTCCGTTGGTTGCTGCTGAGTGGCATGCACACCTCCAAAATTCCAGGTGACGATTCCGATTGCTTTTGCACAATGCATACCTTCTCGCCTTTGCTGCTGCCAGGCGTTCTTCCTTTTGGGGGCATTCGTTGCAGTGTCACAAAGAAGCTCACATCGCACACAACCAGTGACAGCAACCAATTCTGAAGCAAATAGCAACATGCCTCTTTGGATTCCATCTGAGAAATCAGTTTCAAACAAATTGCACGAGACCTTGGATGCTCTTTTTGTAAAAATTCCAACAGCTTGTCGTCATTGTTAGGTGCACCTGCTTCCTCTTGAATTCGTCGAAGCGCATCGGAAAAGCGGCGAATTTCGTTGCAGAGGGTTGAAAAGGCGGGGCCAGCACCAGTGGATGGTATAAGAAGTATGGGTGAACCTCGGAGCACCTCTTCCCTCGTCTTCGCTGTGCCACCTGCTTGGGCAACCGCATCGATTGATAGCGCATCCAAAAGTTCCTGAGCTTCTGGATGTGAACCCTGACAAAGTTCCACCAGCCTGTCGTAGACCAATATAGCTCCGTCTGCATCCAAAAGATCCAAAAGCTGCCACTGCTGCAACTTCTCCACAAACGAGCTTTCCGCATGCAAGATCGAGGATAACATATCCACGAGCATTGGTTTCACTACGCACATGTCAATGTCGTCGTCATCACCTGCAGCAGATGAAGCGAAACCAAACAAGTCTTGCCAGAGAGCTTGGTGACTGCTTGTTGTCGCGTCAGGCTCAGTTTGGCGATAGTGTTGGTCAGCTACAACTAATACTGGGTTCTGTTGATGCCAGGGATTACACCCCCACAACTTGAAGTTGTTCTGTGGAGTATCCCAGAGGGCCTCGAAAGCACGTTGGATTCTCGAAAGATCACAGGAAAACAAATCCAGTGGGTTGTAGGAGGAATACTTTTCTTCCTTGCTGACGGCGCCGGATTCCTGCTTCCATCCCCGTGGCACCTGATCACTGTATCCAAGACGATCCAACGTCTGCAACAGGACAAAGCGCGAACGATAAAACTTGGCCGTGTGCCTTGGGTCAACCAACGGAGAGGATGCCAAATAGCCTGCCTTGGGTTTGATTTCCACGCTGATAAAAGGCATACTTGGCTGCTTTGGACGGCAATAATCCGGAATCAGACACCCAATAGGAGTGCCTTCCTTGGCTGCAGATTGTCCATGTTTTTTGGTGTGGTGACAAAGCCAATCCTTCCTGCGAGCCTCTGGAATAGGACAAGGTTGTGTCGACAAAGTCTGGTCTCTCAATTCCTTGACAAATTTCCATGGCAAAGAAATCGACTCGGGAAGGTCCAAGTAACGGTCAAACTGACGCTTTATGATGTGCTGCAGAAAGAACAAATCGCTTTGTAGTAGCGTCTGTTTGGTTGTGAAACTGCCCTCTGTCAATTGTGAGTTGCCGGGTAGCCCATCTTCTTTCCAGGTTGCAGCAGCTAGCCTCAGATATTTCTTGTCAAGACGAAGGAGCCGACCATTCCAATCCGAGCGATCTTTGTCCGAACAATGGGAAAACAAGGCGTGCTTGCCGCCTTCTCCAGCATATCGCCATTCCTTGGCTTCCATCGTACGCAGGGAGTTGAAGGAACCAACATGCCGCTTAGGATATCGTACCAGAGCTCTTTTTGTGGTTCGAAGAAGTGAGGTTCACGATGTGTTCGTTGGTCTCGAAACAGAAATAATAATAATATTTGCAAACATATCATGATGGTGTACCCCTAGCTACCGTAGCTAGTCCAGGCCAGTTATAAAGGACTCTTATCTTTCTTTGGCTAATAGCTACCAGTAGATATTATCCAGCCACCAGGAAACGACACTACAACGTGTAGCTAAGGTAGCTATAGTTCGGGCAAGTTATGAAGCCTAACAAGCTCCATACTACCCCAACTATAGTATACAGTGGACCCCGAGGCAAGTCCCCCATGCAACTCTCAAGGTATAGAGGCCCCGTTCTAAGTTACATTACATATACATCACCCATGCCGAACAGACCTGCAGCCAAGGACTTGCCTCCAAGCTATCTCTTATCGTGACCTTCCTTGCAGTCTGCCGAATGCGTGGTAAAACTGAACACTGAACACTACACTTCAATGGAACAGTCGTCTGGTACAGCTTCCTCTGCTGGCTGGATCTTTAAAGGTGCTTTGTCTGGCACACGTTCCTCTGCTGGCTGGGCTTTCAAAGAAGGTGCTTTAGTAATTGGTGCGATTTCCCGAAGCTCTGATCCCTCCTCTACCAGAATGGGCATCGCATTGTCGGTGGGGCCGCCGTAGAGCTCCTCGTATCGCGCCTTGGCTCTGGCGGCGAGCTCTTTCACCACTTCCTGTCCTCGGGCTTCCCATTCGCTTCTGTTGCTCTCCGCATAGTTCAAGTATTCGTCCGACGAAACACCAAAGACACCACACTGACTGAGTTTTTTCGCAAGGGGAATCACGTAAAAGTCAAAGAAACCTGTCATCGCGGTTGGCAAGAGCCAGCATCAGAGCCATACCATACACCAAGATTGAAGAAAGCAACAGCACGAACATGCATGGGCCCAACTTACCAATCTCCCCCTTATACCAGAAGACCTCTGGGCTCTGTAATGATCGCCCTTCTCTGAAGGCTGTGTACATTTCCATAAACAAGTTCTGAATGGAGAGAGAGCGTCACAGGTGACTGTCAGCAATGTTTGTTTCAATGTTGGTCCAAGCAACGCAAGGGCTCTTACCTCGTTCCACTTGCGGAAGACATGCCAATGTTGCATCTGCGTTGCGTTGGAGATCACGACGGCAGTAATGCAGTCAGTCAGTCGAACGTTTCACTCTGCACAATCATGCAAGCAACTACAAGATGACTTACCGTATGCGAGACATCAGAGGCCTGAAGTAAGTGCTCAATCTGCAAGAAAGGGGCAGCTTGCGTATCAGGCGTTTGAAACTTCAATGCTACGACTCGTCCTGCTCGTACAAAACACGGACTTACAACAATGGTAGCCTTTCTGTTCACATCCTCTTCATCACTGCCGATTTCTGTCTTTTCTTCTTCTGCTTCGCTGATGCGAGATTTGCCAGCAAATGCTCTGTCCCAGCGCTTGTTGCGAAGTTCCTTTAAACGCTTATCACTAATGTCCGTCGCCATGACGCAATTGACAACCAACTACGAAAGAAGAAAGGGAGAGCCAGTGGAAGGGCAGTTAGTTCATGGTTGCCAAAGCTCAACCCAATGACGGTTGGGAAAACTGTACCTTGCGGAAATGTGTCATTTCTTCTTCATCCCCATAGATGGCTGCTCGGAGGTCGCTGAAGCGTGGTTCCATCAGGAGATTCCATGCTACATCCACCGAATTCTTTGTGCAAGAGTTGTCAACAGGACTGAGCTTGGCCAGGAAGATACAAGAAAAGCGTGGTTCAATCTCATCCTGGCACGTACCTGCTCTGCTACACTTTGGTTTTGGTAACGAGCAGCAAGCTCAGTTCCCTCCTTGACAAGCTGAGTGTTAGGAACTCCATCGTGTTCAGCATCATGAACGAGGGCACTGCAAAGAAGAGGAGGATCCAAAAACAACGAAATGGTGAGTGTCCCACATGAAACCTAGAGGCAAGTGAGTTCAGGAGACAAGATCAGTTTTCATTTTTACCTGAAAATACACGCAAACTGTGTCAAAGGATCTGGGAGTCGATTGGAATGTCAAGATTGTGAGCTTCTCGTGCGATGGCCGAAAGCAGTTGATAGAGGGGACAAGCTGAGCGTTTACCTGAAGTAATTCCGTATGTGTGATCCTTGGGGCAAGGAGTTTCGAATCGAGGAACGAACGTCAGATTCTACGACATGTATGACAGCATCGTTGTGAACGAAACCAACTCGAGAATAGCTTACATGCAACATTTTCTCATGATTGTCGAAAGCACCGCGGGAGGAAATCGCATCGAGCTTTGGAGCAATGATTCGGCTGAGTAGCTTTGAGACAGACATCTGTTCGCGAATCAAGAGAGTTAGCAGAGAGCATTCTTCGCCGAATGATATGTACACAACGATGTGTCTTACCGTCACTGGGAATTGGAGGATCAAAGAGAGGAAAGAAGAACTCAATGAATCAATGCATGAACGGATGTACTCGCACCCGAGGGCAACAGCAATGCTCACCGTGACTAGCGTGTTCACTGTGAGAAGAAAGCCAAAGGAGATGTTCGCGTGTGAGAGCATGAATCAACATCACGCGCAGGAGGCGCAGACACCGTAATGGTCAAATGCAGCACCTACAAGTTGTGAAAAGAATTCTTGTCCTTGTAGCTCTTCGCAATCGCCGTCACCAATTCTCGCAGCTGGTTAAGCACTTCGTCTTTGAGCTCAACATTGCTGCCCTCGCTGGAACCAGCTGCCGCAGCATTGAACTTGGGAAGAGTGATGACCTCGACCACCTCGTCGCTGACCATCTTTCCGGCTCGAAGTTGCTGGTCCAACTGTTCCTCGTTGATTCCAAACGAGGGGAAAAGAGAGGACTTTGTCGAATTTCGTCTAACCGCAATTTGCTTCAAGAGTCTCACTAATATCTCGACATTCCAATTCACAAGCCTCGTCGATTTGGTCGAAAGTCCGTTCTGCAGCCGAGAATCGCTGTGAGGCAGTCCCTGGCCCGCAAAGCGCACTTGCCTTTCTGATTGGTCAGATCGCCCAGTGCTGCTCGCCACAGAACTACCAGTAGTATCTCGGCCCTTTACGCATACCCAAAACGTAGTAAGGGCGCCCTTACCCTTAGCGACCACTTTGTCTTCCCTTGGAGTCAGCCATTTCCCCTTTCCCATCTGCTGCAAGAGTTTCGCGGTTTCAAGAGAACAGTGAATGCGTCCTGGCTTCCCAGTACTCTCCAATCGAGCAGTGGTGTTTACTAGGAAAAGTGGGAAGAAATGCTTTTGAGCTGCATGCCGCCATGACGATGGCGCTGTGATATTCGTGGAACGCGACCTTACCGGTGTCTCCAAAGAGCTTTCATGGTGTGAGATTTGTCTTGCCCTGGATCCATACACCCGAACACACAACTAGCACTCACCTGAAACCTACTCCTCTCTCCCCTCAGGACACCCGCGGTGACTGGACCACTATGTTGGCAGATCCGATCAGTATCAGTGTGTGAGAAAAGGCCCGGCAGCCAGTTTTCCAACCACCTTCAACGCAATACTTCAAAACTCACCTGTGAATCCCGATTCTCATGGAAAGATCTCCTGCCAAGTACACGCACGTGAAAGAACCGGTTAGGCAAGTTCTGGTGCTGGGCTGCGAGACGGCGCGTTTCTACCGTACCTGTGTCGGGGCCCAGTGTCTCTTCCATTTGGGTAGTCAACTCATCCATCTTGGTTTGGCACTCATGTGCAAAACGGGCGACAGCGGGCGCATGGTCCGTTCTTGGCTCTGGGAGACCTGTGGGGTTTGCGACAAGCGTACGAAAGGACAGAGAAAACGATGAGTGAAGATATGTGTGATTCGAGAGTTTCAGGCTCCACTGCTTCGTACGTACCGGCCGCAGCGACATAACAATCCCCTGAAAGAATGACCATGGATAGTACTCCGTGGTTAGAGAGGTACAATACAATTGGCCTTGTGCTCCCCATCAGCTCGGCCCTTCGCAAAACTCACCCACAGTTTCAATTTTGAAGATTCGGCGTCGTTTTGCAATGGTATCATAGGCAGTGTAGATTGTTTCTAGAAGGACAAAGACCTGAGATGGCTCCCGAACCGATGACCTGCCAAAAGGAAGAAGTGCAACAGACCAATGAGACGAAAGACGTATGAAAGCTAGCTGATTGGAATTGTTTCAGAAACGGAAGTACTCACCATGCAGTGAATCCTGTTGAGCGAGTTGAAGCAAAACACACAAGATTAGTCATTGTGCCCCCCTAACGGGGAAGAACTCCATCTAGACTAGCTAGCAAAGTACATACCGACAATATCGGCAAAGAGGACCTGTGTAGTGGAATGCATTGAAACAACACAAGTTGAGCCACGGTAACCATCCATCCATATGAAAACACGTGAATGCACCAACGCGCACGTACCGTGGCTGCGGGGAAGAAGTCAGCAAGAGGTTTGGAAGAATGCACCCCGGTCACATCCAAGGCTCCACCATTGTCGTTGTTGTCGTCGCCTTCAAACAAACGTTTCTTGACTGTGGATGGGAAAAGACTACTCACGATGCGGTTTGATTTGGCAGCCTGCTTGATCATCTTTTCATTGCGCATTTGGACACTTCGATCGTAAAAGAGAAAGACGATTCCAATCACGACAAAGAGTCCGAGCACCGCCATGGTGAAGATGACCTTTTCATCCGAATTCTGACCTCTTCGAAGTGCCCGAGTGGGTTGAATGTGGAGGGAGTAGGCACAGCCTCCGAATTCCGTTGTATTGAAGTAAGGAGACACAACCACAGTTTCCATTGTTTCGTAAAAGTTGTCAATGACATGTTCGCCGAGTCCCATGTAAGTTGCATTGGATCCATTGAGTAGGTATGTAAATGGGTTCTCCTCGTCACAGGAGTTCCTTACTGTCACCTGAATGCCAACCGTTTGTTCCGGAAGAGTGTCAGTGAAAACGGCGTCCCAGATGAAGGAGATTGCCACGAGGCCCACAGGACGAGGTTGGTTATGATTGAGGATGCGATCCGTCACCGGTGCCATCATTACGCTACGCGGACGATGGTGATTTGTTTCGGAGGTTAGCAAGTCTTTGTCCAATGGTGCGCCTTGGTCGCCCAAGTTGAGGATGGTGGAGATGACCGGGTGCACCTCATCCATGGAGATCTCGGTGATGGCAACGCGACTGTAGAGATTGGCAACCTCTGGGTAGGAGAACAAGTCGAGATTGACAATGTGTGCATTGTCGGCAGGAGGTGGGGATACCTGCCAGACAGGACAGTACGGACCCTGTCCTGCTGGAACAGGCTGAACGCCCTCGTCGGTCAAGCCGATGTGAATGTAGGGTATGATGGTACCGTTGTGAGTGTCGGCGCTAGAAGAACGCCCCTTGAGTTGGTCGTCATGGATGGTTTGCAGATCCGGTGTTGCCGAGATGTTGTTGCCTTCGAGTATCCAGCCGTGATTCTTGGTTGTGTAGTCTTCCCAGGCAGCCCGTTCTTCTTCTGAGACCAAAGGAGCGGATATGACCATGTCCGACGTAGGAGCCGACCGGATGTTCCTCCCGTACACTTCAAAGAACGGGATTGTCACAAATGGCCAGGTCGAGTTGGTACCAATCGCGTTTGCCGTCACCAGATCCGATAAGACCTTGGTGTCGCTCGTCGTCGCCTGGGTGTCTGCAATGTACTTGTTGGCGATGATTAGGGTAGCCTCTTCGAACTAATGGGATGGCAATAACACGGGACGATGAAACAAGCAGCAAGATCAGGGTCAGGGGGCAAGAAGAAGGGGTATAATGCACCGTGGAGAATCTTGTTGGCACGTACCGCAGTCTCAAAAGCCATATGCTCTTCTCTCCCCAAAAAGACAAAGGCGGCAAGACCGGAAATGAACCCAACGATCATTAGGATACCCGTGACGGTCTCCCTCCAAGTCATTACACTTTTCGTCTCCCGCCGGATGAGGTTTTCAATCTCCTGCTTTTCTCGTGCTTCTTGCGCCCCGGAACTCGAGGGCTCTCCCGTAGAAGACTTACTTCGTGAGTAGCGGCTACTAGTCTGGGAAGACTCTTCGTCACTGTCAATGTCGTCGTCGCCATCGTCGCTGTCCTCATCAGAAGCTTTATTCTCGTCGAGAAAGAGGTCTTCTTCAAGGCGCTGCTGGGCCGCTTCGCTGGTAGTAGCGGGATTGTTGTTGGGACTGCTGATCGTCATGTTGTTGCACTCGAAAAGGAAAATGCCAAACTGAGAATGTGTTGAGTTGAATAGTAATGATGACTCTCAGTAGTGTGTGGCTCTTTCAATAGACTTGCTTGCTTGGCAGCGTGAACTGTGATCAAGAATTGCCTCTTTTTGGCTTATGTGGTTTCAAGAACTTTTGGAGCTTCAAGTCTTCTGCTTTTCTATTTCTGTGGTGAATAGTGTGAGGTGTGAGGACTGTGTGAGGAGCTGAGTGAGGTCATCCTGTTGAACCTGCATAAACTTCGGAGAAACAGCTAAACTCCCCTTTGGAGTATCGGTACTGTACACTGTACAGGTGTCGCTTCAAGCTAAGCTTCCAGCCAACTGGAATTACTCGAGTAGAGTTTTCACCACAAGCCCAGTGGTAAAAAGAGGTGGAGTAGAGCATGGTTCGGTACCAGGTAGGTGTCTCGCTGAATTCTCTCGGCAACGTTGTCTTTATGTCGGTCTTTACCCTACTCTGCTGGTCCGTAAAAGCAAAATGGTTAACCCAGTCGGAGGTAATGGCCACTGATTCACACTTCTTGGGAAGTTATCGAGACATCGAGACAGGCATAGAGTCATAGATCGCCTCATTATTATGAGAGTAGGACCACTCGTGGACACTAGTACCAGTAGAGCTACTCTTGTCACACACTGTTTCGCGATGCGGGAACGACTGGGAACGACACCGTAACCGTTTGACCACTTTGATCCAACGCATTTTCCAAAAGTTCCCCCCTTCAGAAAGAACCATAAAGCAACGAATAGGAAAGCAAGAGCTATGGCAAGGATCTAGATTTGTATTAAGATTTAGATGCTCTTTCTCTGACTACAATGTTATTGCCTACCGGTACTCGAGTACCTGACGTACTCTAGTAGCTGCTATTCAAGGCTGAGGGAGATGGGAAAATATCTGTTTTCTTGGCCAATCTAACTGTCATGAGGGTCAAAGCCGGTCAAGCCACACAGCAAAACTACGGTGTGCCCCGCAACATTAGGGGTCTTCAAAGCCTCTCACTTCTTTGACTTTTTTCTTTCCATTCAGGGGAGGCAAAAGAGGGGAAGAAGATGGGATTTTTGGATGAACCGGAGAGCTACCGGAGAGGTGCAAACATGACCACCGTAAACATGTTTGGACGTGCTTTCCGTTGGATACGTCACAAGCATCGAAGACTTCCATTAGTTCCAAAATGACTTCTTTCATGCCCACCTTTTAATTCTTTGGCTTACTTCATTTTGTACCAGCTTGTTCTTCGCGATTTTCTCCACTCCTCCTAAAGTATATGAGATGACCGAGCAACGTCAGAGATGACCCAAAAAGTAAGAAAAGAAAAATTGTGAGCGAAAAAGCACCTAAAAAGGTGCTTTTTCGGAGAAGTAACTTTTTTTGCCTCTCCGCCCCTTTCTTTCTCTAAACCCATCCCTCCCCTGAATGGAAAGAAAAAACTCAAAGAAGTGAGAGGCTTTGAAGACCCCTATTAGTAGCTACTGAGTACCTTGCTAGCTACGGAGTGATAGTAACAGTTGCATTCATAGATGATAAGGTACTTGTTGGCTCTTTAACTGATGGCTGGTGGTTAGTGGTGGTCATGGTCGTGATCACCTGTGGTCACTGGTGGTCTCCAATGGTCACCTATTGTCTCTCGTGGTACCTGGTACCTAGGCGTGCACGACTAGCTTCAGCTTTTCCCCCTCTGGCTTGATTGAGATTCTTTCATCATCCCTCATAGAAAATTTTCATAACAGGTAAGCTCTGCCATGGGATGTCTCGAGTTATACGATTTTAGCAAAAAGTGAATGAATTAAGTAGGTTTTAATCAGCACAAACTGCTGAATCGCTAAAACACGAGCTTTCACTCTGTGGTAACTTTTCGGTTGTTTGACTTTTTCACCCCCCTTGGGAATCATCAGTGCTTGGGCTATTGTGGTACTTATGAAATCGAGGTTTATGTGGGCATGCTCCGTATATTTCGTTGCAGGAGTTGATCAGCTTTTCTGGCGATTCTCTGGATTGTTTCAGTATCTCGAGTCACTCCCTGTTGCATAGGCTGCAGTGTCGTGCCCCGAAGGTCTTGACAGTACTGATGGGGTTGCCTTGCCATAGGATGCTAATTTTGATGCTGTTCCGTTGAATGTAGCCGTTAAGTCGGAATGGTGAAGGAGGTGCGAAGTTTTCGAATTTGTTGGTGAAGTGTCTTGCGTATGAATCTGACTTGCGTTTTCCATAGAGGAGACGCATGACGTCGGTGAAGTGTTGGTATGTTCGTTCTTTGACGTTTCGTTGGGTTGCCCCAACGTATTCCTTGCCCAAGTTAATGCATTTGATGCAGTATATGGCCAGTTTATTTCTACAGCGGTCGTCAAAACGGCATTGGCCGTCTTTCTTGTTTCCTGGCTTGCAGTTGCAGGTTTCATTTTGGAACTCGGTGGAGATGGCGTCTTTGGTGAGCTTCCTCGATAGGTCGCCCATGAACATCTCTCGCAGGTTGGTGAATCAATGGTAGGACATAGACGTTCTAATCCATTCGAGGCCAGCCATGGCTCTTCTTGAGGTCGTTGATTACCTTGTGTATTGGGGTCGTTCAGGTGTTGGAGTGTCCTATACAGAAGAATAATGATCGGTTCCGGTTCCTCTTTCGTTGCTTGGCATCTCTATCTGGTTCGTTTGCTTTGTCCTCTTGTCGTTGGGGGTATCGTTGTACGAAGCGCTTCCCCTCTGGATCTGTCACTACAAGAACAACAACACTAATAGCAACAAACACAACCAATCGGTCATACCTATACCATTACACTACCTATTAGCACCATTAGAAGCATTGAAACGAAGCGAAAGGACCTCAGGAAGCCTGTTTTCTGTTATCTTGTTGAAGAGTCCTGTTTTACTATAGGATTCAACTCAATGTCATCACGGAAAACATACATCCTTTTTCCTCTCTTTACAACCTATTCAAGCCGAAAAGGATCAATACCTCCTATCTCCTATCAAGCGCACCTCCTCTATCAAGCGACTATCAAAGCTGCCTTCTCCGGTTCAGATTAGAAAGCCATCCCAATTGAAATCCTACGAGATCGAGCGGGTTTTCTATTCTCGACCGCCGACGGCCAAGTTGGAAGAAATTGAACACAAGACAAAGTCTCCGGCCTTCCCCAGCACAGTACAGAAAACAATTCCCATACGTATTTCTTGTTTTCTGCACTCCGCTCCTGACGGCCGACGAAATCCCATTGTCGACCCTCTTTTTTTCTCGAACGATTGACCTCGATCTTCTCCCTCAACCACAGGCTCAGTTAACCATATTCCTAAGGCAACCTGGACTCGCTGAATCCCACTGAATCGAATCGAACTCCGAATCGAATCAAGACTCACCTCCGTGAATCGATCGATCTTCCCGCGACCTCTCCTCCGTACCTCTTCCTCCGTACGGATCGAACGACAGCCTCTATCATCAAGAAGGACTTCATGAGATACCTGCAGTGACCACCAAGAAGAGAATTACACCTGTATTCTTACTTTCTCATTGGCCACTAGTGGTTTCTCCCGACGTCCTTGTTGGAACTGATACCTCCTGCTACCATTACCACCCATTGATATCTAACTCCTCTCCAAGAGGAACAACAAACAACAACAGAGTTCCTGTAAGGACTTGAGTTCTTGTATCTCCAGGCTTGGCTGCATTTATTCGAGTTTTCACAGCCCCTCCCTGAGATACCCAGCTCCCCTCCAAAGGATCTCACCCCCACAAGAACAAACTACAAAAGCTGCCCCTCTAGAGTATCTGGCTAGATTGTGCAACACTTCATTGACACAGCCACCTCTCTGCTACTGCACCTGACTCTCCTACTGAGCATGGAGCTCCAAAAGATTGAGCCCCAGACAGAACTGCAGCGTGGTGTGGCATAGATATTAATACATAACTGACTCTTTCTCTCTCTCATTGATTGTTGAGTGACTCTCCAGTGACTTTCCACAGTTCCACCTGAATCGAGTACCCTCGCCACATCTTGGCTTGACTCTCTGTTGCATGTCAGACCCTACAACAGATTGAGTACCAGCCTTTGAGACAACACAGTGTCATACAGTAACACAGCCCCATCAACCAACAACACCCCTTGACCCCCCCACCACTGCCTCTACTGGCTATAGCGTGACTTCTCCAGTTTTCCCTGAAAGAATCCCTAACAGCCTTTGGCTCTGATACCATCTTCTCCTGCAGGTAGTGGTATACCTGCAACAGACTTGGCTACAGCCTTTGATCCAGTGGCAACAACAACCCAACAACTTGATATAAACCTTGCTTACCAGTGTGCAAGTGCCTCAGTGCATTGCCCCTTGAATAAACCCCTCTACATCAATCATCTTGCCACCTCACAAGCAACCTCCATTGCTTGCGTTGAAGCAACGACACTACAGTCAACACTCCAGGATACACAACTCTCCCACCAACCCACCTACCACCCACCATGACTTCCCCATGTCTACCCACAACTTGCTTCACTCAAACCCAAGGTCCTCCCAGACATTCCCCCACTCCCACACTTCACCCAACCAACCACATCCACCATCCTCCGCAGACTACACAACACCACTCCCCAGATGATCAGCCAACAGCTCCTAGAGCATGCAGCCATCTTGAGGATCACACCCTTCCGAATCACACCCTACCCTATCAGGGAGGATGCCTTTGTTCTCACCCTTGAACAGAGACACGCCTCTATCCTACAACACACCATCAACCATGCTACATCCCAACTCCTACAACAACACTCCAACACCAACAGGATCTCCCCTCCTGCCTCTGGCACCAGCCCACTCCCAGTGCCCCCTTATCCTCCTCCTTCTATTGACTCAACAACCCCTCGAACAGCCCACAATACTCCAGCAGCCACTGTGCCTCCCTCCTGGGAACCACAGACTGCCAGTGTGTCATTTGACCCCATCTTCTGCCTGCTTGTTGGCCTCTATCTAACAATTTTTGTGCATTGGATGGGTTACACCCTGCTCTGGTCCAGCCTGAGGAGTACCACCTCCTACGGGCTCTGCTGGCATCTTGCCTTGCATGCCAAAGCACTTGCCACAGCTTGGAACCTGATCACCCAGACACACTTACTGGCGAGCACTCTTTGGTCTGGCAATCTATCTGGTCCTCACGGCGCCTTTGGTGATAATGGTTTCAATACCGACAAAAATCCTGTGTAAGCCCCTGTAACCCAGGTTTTGCGCTGCAGGTTCCCTATCAATGTGCTCACCCCCCTACCCAGGGCATCTGTCTACTTGGTGCTGGCTCCACGTTGGGCCAGTGGATGAGGTCATGTTGATTGGGCAAACAAGTAGATGACGACTCAGCTAGGTGGGGATCTACCCCACCACTTGCCCGCGTCAATAAAGTCACTCCGTGGCCAATAGCTTGTTAAGCTAAATGAGTAATTTAAACTCCCGTTGGGAGTATCGTTGTATCTCTTCTTGTAGTGTTGGTATTTGGTCTGGAACCAGTCCAGCTTTCTTCAACGCCTCGATATGTAGTGGGTAGATCTCATCGAGGGTTTGGTTGACATTCTTGTTGGTAACTGTAGTGAGTTTAGCAAGTCTCTGGAACAACCCCTAGTGGAATGTTTTTGAGGCATGCGTTTGTGTGGGTAGTTCCCCTGTTTAGATATTTCAGTTGTTGGTTCGGTTTAAGGTGGACTCGGAAGTGAAGTTCTTCCTGGTCCGACCAGAACAGTTCCATATCTACAGACAACACGCCTTTACTCTACAAACGGAGCCAATGGCTGTAAAGAGTGTGTGCATAACTAAGTAAATTTGCCAGCTTTTGTAAAGTGGCTTGTGTACTAGAAAGTCCATGTAATGACACGCATGCTTAAAGGCTAAAAGCTGATACCTACCTAATCATTGTCAATTCCCTCTTCATCCTTGGTATTCAACTTTTCCTCCTTCTCTTCCTGCCCTTCTCCTGTATCTTCCTCCCATTCCACTTCTTCACTTGCGTCATCATCCCTTCCAGTTGCACTGGCATCATACAAGAGGATTTTTCAATGAACTAATGTGAATATATGTTGCTGATTAGTGATGTCCCTGTACAAGGTAGAGTTAGGTCAGATTTAGGGGTCCATTTTACAGATTTAAGACAATACCGTAAAGTATTAATGTATGCACAGAAATAGAAAACCGGATTCTGTAAAGTTTATATGTACCCATAGAAATGCCAAGTGTTTGTAAAGTACAGTGTGCACAGAAAAGTGTAAAGTAAAGCTGTGTTGTCTGTAGATATGGGAATGCTTTTCCACTTTCTACAGTTACTTTGGGGTCGGATTGATCTTTTGGGAGTTGTCTTTTGGTTTGGTCTAGCCATATGCTACAGGTGAATACTAGGTAGTCTCCTCCGGCTACCGGTAGGCTGTTGACTTTGGCCTGAAAATTGGCTCTCCATTCTACTATCATTTCATATGTCCAAGTTCCTTTGAAGATGTCTCGAGTTGGCATTGTTGCGATGGACCATGCTGTTTTACCCCACCTCCCAGCGCATCCTAACACTTTGTACTCTTACCGGTAAGTGCTTCACTGTACCGGTGGGCTCCACGTGAGTTCTACATTCTACAGTACCGGTACCTTGATGGTTGAAGTCAGTGGAATTAGAAGGAGTTGCTCCAAACTACGCAGAACTGACACAGAACAGCTTTCAGAACACTCCCCTCTATAGTACATCAGCTGTACATCGTAGTGTTGTGCTGTACTAGTAGCCTCGCAGCCAGCTAATCGTAGTCACTCGTAGTACGGTAGCCTTGCAGTCAAGCGGTCAAAGTACCACTGGAGAAGTACGCTGTACGAGAGCTACTACTCTAGCTACTAGGAGTGAGTGGTCGAGAGCTTCAAGGCTAAGACGTCCAGTACCGTGAAGAAGCACTTGCTGTTGGGGAGAGGACCTGTAGCCTGTAAGGGACTGGGCAAGTTTCATCAGGTTTCAGAACTGTATGGTTGGCCAGCGAGTAGGGTACAGTATGGTTCGCCAGCGAGAAGGGCTGAACGCCTGGACCTGTCTGTATGTGGCGGTTTGGGAGGATTGTGTTGTAGGAACAAATAGTCACTGAAACATTGCATCACTTCTAACTCAGTAGTCGTCGTTCTACACAAGCAACCAGTATTGATGCCCCAAGGTTACATCGTCTTTTGTTCAACCAATAGTCCCAAGCGACGCGCAGCCGTTCTGCATAGCATCGATGTGCACGCATCGCATCGTAGTAGTCTGGGCCAAGGGCCTCGCTCGGTCCGATTTCAAAGATCTGTCTCTAGTAGTTGTAGTACTCTAGAGCTCTTAGACTACTAGCTAGCTAGATAGCGAGAAAGAGTTTGGACTAGTCTTGGAAGGTTACTTGCTTACCGGTAGCCGGAACCCATGAACTCAGAAAACGGAAACTCCGAGTCAGTATCCACGCAAACAACATCCCGGACAAGTTTTGACACCATGCGGAAGCTACTAAAGGATGCAGAAGTCAAAGATTGTAGCACTAGTAGAATGAAAGGGCGGCCGGTTGTAGAAGATAGTGTAGCCCAAGTCCTTGAAGCTGTCCTTGTCGCTTCGCTCTTTTGAGGGCAAACGCTTGCAGCAATCCGAACATTCTTGCACCTTGCAACAAGCTTCTTTTACTCTTGCAAAGAAGAAGGAGAAGAAAGCAAATTGACAGGAGGCAGAATGATGCTGGGTGAGGCCCACGAACAAAATTAATCATCCAACATCGAGAATGGTCCTCCGTTTTGCAACATGTACTTTCTACAGTAGGATTCATTAATTTTCATCTGGCTGAGTTCGGTTCGGAGTTCGGAGCATGCACTGGATTGAATCAATCTAGTAGGAGATCCAGCTGGCTATCCACTACTGTAGGAGTCACTGTTAGTTGTACAGGGTAGCGAGCGCTTCATAGATAAGAGTTTGTTGAGCAATTCGTGAACCTGCAGATCAATCGCTACTTCGGTGGCCAGCCAGCACGACGTTTTCCATTCTTTCCATCTTGGTGCGGCAGGCGGAGAATAGAATGGCTCTTTCATTGAAGCTCCAGCCAGTAAGAAACTTCTTTGAAGAGCCCTCCATGTCATGAACACCAAAACGAAGGGTACATTTCACGTCATCAAAGGGAAGCGCAAAAATGCAAGCTCCAGCGAGGGCCACCTTGTAATCCGCTTCAATGTGGCTGGGTACGGTACATGTAGAGACCAGACCACCGGCCACTAATGGTACTTGCAGCGGCTTGCTTGGCGACGAAGAAGTCCAGTGGTGGTCAGCTATAGCCAAGATCAATTCTAGCGAACCTGCAGGATATGCACACATCATTTCCTTACCGCCGTTGCGGCCGTGTCGGTGGCGTAACAATTGAAGTGTTCCTTAGCTAGCATTTGGGTTATGTCCGCTCTACTGAGCATCAAGAAGTATCTCGACCTCGTTTGCTTTGTCTTCATTCATTCCCTTCAAGGTTCAGACCAGGCTCCACACCCGGACCAACAACAGGCCCTAACAAGCCTAGGCCAACACCAGTACCTGGTCCATCTCCAGACGCCGCTCCTGGTCACATCAAACACCTAGACCCCACACCAGGACTAAACCAGACCCACATCCAGCACAACAACTCCAGGCCAGCGAACGGAACACAACTGCCACAGAGACATCATGGTAGCATCAGTTTCTTGCAAGCAATGCATGAAACACACGGCGAATCTGGGAGCAGTCGCTCGGAAGATCTAGCACTTGTTCCGAACATCGTTGGGAGGGGATCAAAACAAGCAAAGTACGAAAGCAACTACACCCGCACCCCGTACGGTACAGGTCGTCAAGTCCACATGCAAAGAACACTAACAGGCAAAGCACCAATCATAGTTCAACTTGTGATTGCTTGTTGGTACCAGCTTTGGAGGCCTGTGAAGGAGCTGGTTCTTACGATACAACCAACTAGGTTTTTTCAGGAGAGACTGGCAATAATTTGTAACACCGACACGTCAAAAGTAAAACTGTAAACACCAATAAGCAATTGAAGCATCTACAAAAATAATGTATACAGTAAGGACAACCGCTGCCAGAGTGCCTTGTTGCTGCTTGCTTTCTCACATGAAGCAGATAGGTATCATTCCTTCGCCACAGACTCCGTTATTCATCAACTGGTGTAGATTGTTGAGAAGAGGCATCCTCGTCTGCAAAAGAGAGAAAAAAAGAAAGGAACAAGAAATGATCAGATGACTGTAACAGTCCTCGAGGAAAGGAGTTCACGTGCGTTCCAGAGTGCCACTCCATTGTAGCTGGCTATAGTAGACTAGATCTGTTTTGCTTACCATTTGGTGGCCAGTATCCCTCCACTTTCATTTCCGCAGCATCCACAGCTGCCTTGAAACTGTCCACAAATACTTCGTGTGTTTCTCGTGCTTCCTTTCCGGTGGGTCCGGCCAAACTCCGCAGCACAAAGAGTGGCGCATAGTATAGGATCAATAGCGGTTGCAAGAAATATCGAAACGATGGTGGCAATGGCGAAAGCATGGCTGCCATGACTTTTCTCACAGCGGCACTGGTAAACGCCAATGTGCTGGCATAGACTGCCGTCAAGGAAATCCCTGTCGCCGCTCGCATTGTGGCACGAAAGGCCGTCAAGGAAAATCCCGTGACTTTTCTCATGTATCCACGCAAGGAGGCATCGTTGTCGTCTTCTTGCTCACTTTCCGTCGAGGCTGCCATGGCTGTGGTAAAACCCTCTTCGTTATTATTCTCCATGGACACCAAACTTGTCGTCATCCAGAGGCGGTGGTTGTTGCTTCTTCTTGTTGTTGACAGAGTAGTGGGAGCTGACGATAAGGCCCGTGGGGTTGTCGTTTGAGAAAACTGAGGCACTTGTGACTGTGAGGAAAACCCGGAGCATCTCGAGATGGCCAAACAGAACAAAAGCCCAATTTGCAGCTGATTCTTCATCATGGTTTCTCTCTTTCTTTTCTCTCTATAAAAATTTGATCCTTCAGAGTTATCTTTCTCACTCACTCCAACTGATTTTCTGTTTTTATTCTTTGTGGCTTTGCCTTCAAACTGCCAATCAATCAATGGATTGTTCTTTCTTTGGATGGGTCTACGTACTCAACATAACAACAGCCCGCTGGACAATGCATAGAACAGTGCCACAGATGCTGGCAGTCAGCCTTGCAACAGTCCGATTGGATGTAAATGTGTTTTCTCGAATACGAGCTGTGTTGACACGTTGACACCAGAGTGTCAGCTCCATTCACGAGTGTGAAGCGCGATGGGGTTGCACCATACGGTAAAGGATGCACACTCACTCCACCTTCCGAAGAAAGCCTGAAGGCTGCCAGCACATACACGTACCGTAGAGAACGCTGTACCGGTACAGTACCGGTACCCAGGTTTGAGCTCTTTTATTAACATGTATTAACACCCACCGGTACAGGTACCATGTACCCACCTCATCATCTGCAATAGGATAACTTCATGTAAAAGCGTCGCCAATAGTGATGAAGTGAGTTGGTCTACTAGTCAGCAAGCTACCGCTATCTCGCTAGCAGCTAGCATTGTCTGAGTTGATTTCAAAATGCTTTCTCGACAGGATCACGAGAAGCGTCTGGAGGGAGACAAGTTGATGAAAGAGGGAAACTACAGAGGTGCCGCCAAGATCTTTCGACATCTTTTGGAGACGCTGGATCGAGATGGACAGGGCAACCGCTACGCTCTCTTTCATGCACTGCTTTGCCTGGGAGACTTTAAGGAAGCAGAGCAACTAGCTGACAAGCACAGTGCTGATGGAGATGAGCTGCCGTTTTTGTATGGTTATGTAGCGATCAAGTACTTGAAATTCAAGCTCGGATATCTTGCCGAAAAGGAGCTGGATACGGCCCTCATCAAGGCTTTCCAAATGAATCAATTTGTTCCAGAATACCTGCTTTTGCTACGCACATCATCTGGCTTGCCAGAAATGCAAAATCCCCACAGCTATACGGTGTCTACCAGAAGTGAAGCTTTGCACTATGTCCATTCCGCCAAGGACGTCTGGTAAAAACTGCCAGGCCTATTCGATTGGCTGGAGCGCACCGGTGAACGAGGAGGCACACCGAAACCCAATGACGATGGAAAAATTCTCTTTGGCCTTCTCAGCAAAGGCAAACTACTTGTGGAGGTGGAATGCAGGAAACGAAATCGAGAAGGTGGCCATACAGTAGTTGTGACCAAAAAACTAACATCCAACTTTGAGGATATGAAGGGCCAACTGCTTCCACGCTTTAGAGTTCCTCCTGCTGTCAATCAACTTGACCCCGAGTCCACAATCTGCTGTTTCTGGGACGACGACAACAAGAACAACCGGTGTGATCCAGCTACGTATTTTACATCCTTCCCCTATGCAGCGGTTCGTAAAGTGCACTTTTGGAAGCTATTGCACGGATCGGGCTACTACAATCACGAAAGGGAGCTGGAACGGACTTCTCGCGTCAGTGACTCATTGCGATCAAACCAAAGGTTGCTGGTATGAGTGCAGATGTGCAGATCACAAGCTGATCCCGAGTAAGGATGAAGAGAGCAACACTGGCTGTTGCAGCATAGGATCCCGGGGGCGGAAACTGTTGGCCCATTCAAAAACGGTAGTCCATTGGAGGCGATCCTCATGCGCGTCTTCTCACCAGTCCTCTGATCACAAGATACTTGCGCTCGTGCCATACAAAATGTCAGGTTCAGGCACAACAATAAACTCAAAGTTGCTGCTCGTTCTGTCGATTGTGATGCGTCTGCGACCGTGATTTCTGCATAGCGCAGAAGTTTTCGGTCTATTGCAGCCTTCTGCTTCCTTTCCCTGTAGTATCATCCATCTTGCCATTTCATGAATCCCTCGTGATTGGCCCAGACCACGGCGGTTCCATCGTAGCTGGCTGTAATGACTACGGACGAACACTCGCGTTGGGGATGTGTCGCAATGGAACAAGTCGCCCGCGTGTGTCCCTGCAATGTTTGAACGGTTGTCCCACGAACGATATCGTACAAGACGGCCGTCCCATCTTCCGATCCCGTCACCAACGTGGCATCGTCGGCAGTCATGGCGCATTGCAATCCATACTGTCCGGCCACATGACTGCCCGTGTACGTGTTGAGCAATTCCCCACTTTCCAATTCCATCAATCGAATGGCACCGTCCAAACAATTCAAGGCGAGGCATTGTCCATCGTAGGTGGGTGTCATGCCCGTAATGGCACTCCCACAATCGTCTGCTGCCAGACTTCCCTTGCGAATATCGTAGGTCCGTACGACACCATCGACGGAAGCGGTTCGAATCAAGGCAGTGGTATTTTGGTTGTTTCGTTTTTTCTTGTGGCTGCTGCTTTCCATTTCATCATCTTGCACGACATGAATATCCGTCACGGAATCCTTGGCTTCGGTGAGTGTCATGATGGGTTCGTAACTGTTGTGACTGCGTCCGTCCCATATTCTGACGGTACCATCGTAGGATGCCGACAAGTAGGTATCGCACCCATGACTAATGGCAACGGCATTGATGCGTCCCGTGTGTCCTTGAAATCGTCGTTTGACTTGTTGCGTGACAATGTCGGTAATGACAACCGTCTTGTTGGATCCGGCCACCAGCGTAGTGGAGGAGGAATCCAATGCCAGTGCGGAAATGGGATGGGTGTGGCCGTTGGCGTAGGATTGAATGGGCAAGGATCGTGCCAAGGAGTCCATAGAAGTATAACTACTAGGAGTAGTGGCTGTGCCGGATGGCAACGGTGGCAACGCGGGAGGTGGTGGAAAGGCAGGATCAATGCGGAGTGGATTCCAGAGACGCACAGTTCGGTCATGACCACCTGTCAAACAGTATTTGCCATTGGCTATTCCAAAAAATGAGAGAGCAGTATGGTAAAACCATAATGGCAAGCAGATCAAAGTGAGAAGAAACTGTTGAAATTGAGGATTGCCCGACGAAATAATGCCCGAATCGAATCAAAATCTCTTGTCACTTCAAATTCTGCTTCTTTGAACAACAACAACAACAACAACAACAACAACAACAACAACAACAACAACAACAACAGTACGCCAGAAAGAATCAAGAGAACGAATGGGGGCCCTCAGGTCAAAGTGAAGGAATATTGTACGTCGGTTGTCGTCAAGAGTGTCTCTTTCTGTCCAAGCGCGAGGTACGTGTCATCAATGGGCTCCATGCATACAATAGCTGTAACACACACACGAGACAAGACAAGTCAAGATCGTGCCTACCGTATCAGATAGTCACTGTCATCTGAAGTGAACTCACCGGCAAATTGGACCTGTTGGATAGGACCATCGTGGCCTACCAAGCGAGCAATGGGCACTTTGGGAAGCGACGGAGAGACGTCCTGTCGAGACGCCTTCATCTTTCACGGTGCCTGATCAAGCCAGCCACCTACCCTACTAGAAAGTCATGGCTGCTCTTAAATACCATAGTACTCATGCAAGGTCATCACTCTCGACAATGGCGGTTACGATGCTCTTCACGGCCGCTCTCGTCTTTGTTTTGGGCTTGGATGTGTGATGAGTGTGTGGCTGTGGGTGGTGCAGTGCGGATTTAATCGAATCGAATCGAATCGAATCGAAATCGATTCTGATGAAGTTCAGTGCAGAAACGATCTTGGTATATCGGCGGCGCGAGCGTCCCCGGCCGGCCAGAAGCCATTCGAGCTGGGATATGGGGCCCAGTGAGAGTACAAAAGCAAAACAATGTAAATAACAAATTCGACTCACCAGGAGCTAAAAAAGTAAACTAACAAATAACGAAAGGCAATGAGGTGAGAGGCTCATATGGAATTTGCATACAACCAGTGCAGGGATGGATCAAGCTTGTAGCCCTCCTCAACATCTATATGAGCGGGAAGTCAGTAGCTGCCTTGGTTGTAGAGTAGTGCGCGTAAAACAATAAGGTGCTTTCTGGTACTGTAGAAAATTGTATGGGGCATCTAACTGCTGTTTGGAAGGCCTCAAAAAGAGTGGAATAAAGGTGCTGCTAGAACGTCGCAGCTGCAAGGCTTGGTGCCAAACCGATTGAGAGTTAAGCAGATGTATACCTACTCCAGCTATCTGTAGCTGCTCAAGCTGGGGGGTGAACTGTGTATTGCAAATGTCCAATTGCAAAACGTTGTTTTTGTTGACTGTTGGCAGTCGTTATTTTACTGTTGTACTGGGACTTTAAATAAATTTTTTCTAAAATAAAAAAGCAAAAACGAATTCATTTTAATGTAAAAATATGATGTTTTTGACGTTTTTACGAAACTAAAATTATTGAATCTGTTGCATTGTAATCATAAATTTGAATTTGGAGATATCAATGAGATTATGAGTAATAGCTGTGACATGGATACATCAGATGCACACTCGTTTGTTGATTCAGAAATGGACTACAGCTTCCATTCAACAAATGAGAATTGTTACTTGTTTTGCATGAATTGTAATCGTGGAACGGTCGACGATTTACGCGAATTTGGTGATGAAGAAAATATTGAACTTGATTTGTACTGGGAATTAAGTTTGTTACCTGTACCAATTACAGACATAAAGAATGGTCGCAAATGGTGTTTGTTTAAAACACGCGACTTTCGAGATGATGAGGTGATTACACTGTGCGATCAGTGTCATTGTGCACTTTGCGACAAATCACAAATGACGTATAGCAAGGGTCAATTTGTATGGCCTGCTTTCATGTGGCATTTGCTCAACAACAACAATTTGAGACGGGAATACAAAACAATGCTATGGCAGCTGTTTCCTATGACTTGCGCAAATGGTGGCTTCTGCCAGCTGAGAAGCTGGATTATTTACACGAAATTACTTTAGAGTGGCCAGCTCCGTTTGTACGGGATATTACACGTGACTTTGAAGAGATTTCAACTGCACTCAAAGAACTGCGATGGATGAATCTTGCAAAGGCAATGGACAAGTATTTAAGAATTCCATGTGTGAAATGCCCATGGGGGTGCTGTCAGATGCTTAACCTTGCAACCAAACAGGTGCCATGGGATGCGATAGTTATTGATTTCTTAAATGATGCAGATGGAGTACAAAGAATGTCATGAATCAGTTCACATCGACAAAAAAATACAAGTGCATGGATTCAAGGAATCCGACCAAATTTTGTGAAATCTGGTCATCGAATCATGAAGCGCGAATGGGGATTCTGCATGCCTTCGCTGGTTTACGTGAAAGGCAAGGGACCTCAGATTGCAACTTGTGGGTACCACAGCGAGGCCAGTGTGGGACAGTATCTGCATGTTCCGCGAAATCCCCTGGGATCTACAATGACACATGCATCTGACCAATTTGCACCCGCAGTGGCCAAAGTTCGTACTGTTAGAACCGTGAAACGTCGTGAATACTCAGATCAGTACCATGTCGCAAAAATGAGAGGCAATTACACAGGAATCGACACAATGTCACTTTGTAATCAGGGTAACTATGCTGTGGCAAATGAGTTGAGCATGCGACAGGATGCGCTTGCAATGGAGTGTCGGCCTGATATCAAATGTCATGTTTCCCGACTGTGTGAAGAAGGCAACATCCCAAGGGAACTGTCAGAAGCAAAATTGTTACAGCAGGAAGAGTTTTTATGCGGAAAGAAGCCACATACATGTCATTGTCAGATGCAATTCACCTCGAGGAGGTAATCAAACAGGAAACTCAACTACGTGTTACGTGTTACGAAACGTGATGAAGAGACTGGAAAAAATAGGCAGATTCAGTTCACACCGGGATGGCCTTTCCCAATGACACGAATACATCCCGCAGATCTGTATGGTAAACGACCTTGCATTATTTCCAAACCTGGATTCCAGAAAAAGGAAGCGCGATTCGACGTGCGTGGGCTTTGGTGTTGTCTTGTTATTAGAGCATTCAATCCCCGGGTACCCCAAATCACAAAACCCAAATGGTTGGAGGTTGACCATCCTCGCTGCTAGGCTATGCTTGCTCGCGAAAGAGAACCTCAACGCTCCTATTGTGATGTTAGAATGATGTCATTGATGATGTGGCAATTCTTCTCCTTAAGTAAATTTGAATCCAATGAGTCAAATGGGTTTGGGTCGGCTGTTTGGGCTGCGCAAACAGCTCGGATTTGCGCGAGCCACATGAATCCACATGTTCACTAAAACACATTTGACTCAGTGGACTCAGGTCGGCCGGCGATACTCGATGCCAACCATTTGGGTTTTGTGATTTGGGGTACCCGGGTATTGAATGCTCTTACCATTCACAATGCTGAGATCTGGAACTCAATTTCGCGAAATGTGACACGCGTAGAAGATTGGAAAGGCTGGTTTCTTCAGTATGCAGCTCGGCACGGACTCTTTGCCAGAACAAGAACCCTCTACAGTTCCAAAAATGATCCCTTTCGCAAAAAAATTACTACGACCGAGCTATGCAAGAAAATGTTTGGCGACAGCCAGCTGAATTGGTTTGCACAAGTGACAAGGGTTTTTTCATCACTACCTGGAATTAAAACATGCAGTCAAAGTCAATTTGGCACGTATACTTCGGTGGAAGGCGTTGACTCTGAGGTACAGAAAATACATCATGTGTTGGTTATTGCTGATTCTGTATGGAATCAAGATATACCACTGGGTCATAATGTGGTGACACTTCGCGAAAAAGAAATTCACGTCACTAGCGGTGTTATTTACGAGCTCCATGAAGTTATTGCTATAGACAATTCTTCTATTGACGAATGCAACATATTTGTCAGGAATGGTGGACTCCATTCTCGTTGGTGGAAACATTGCAAATCGGGACAGACAAACAAAGTTCAAAAATTTGGATGTCTGGGTGATGATCATCTTAGGCAATGGCATGTTGCAGTCTACACAAAAGTGCATGATCCTGCCTCAGTATTCACGAGACTGAAAGCACAGTATTGGCGACTTGTTGGAAGCCAAGCTTGGGCCAAATGCTGTGATCACAAACAGTTTTTAGTAACGTCTGGACCTGTGCAGCGATGGGAAACGTTCTGTGCCACGTGTGGAGAGGAACTTCCAGAATACCACTGTCCAAAGAAGGAATGTACAGTTAGTCTGTGCAAGCAGCACTGGAAGATCTTGAGTGCAGGTTCCCGTGCATGTGATGAAATTTCCTATGTGAAAAATGGAATTCCTCAGCAGCGAATGTTCACGATGAATCAACAATGGATAATGCGAATGTTGCTGCAATGCCAGAGGAAAATGAAGAGTCTGATGATGAAGACATGCCAAATGCCAATGGTGGCGACAACAGGGGGGAGTACAACAACTGCAATGGATTTGAGGTCGAAGACTCAGACTCTAATAATGCAGATGCATCTATGTCCTCTGATGATGATGACTCAGTAGAAAAGGTTGGATATGGTCCTCATCATGACTTGGCATTTTCACTGGAGGACTGTGATTCCGTGAACGAAGAGGAGCTCGATGCGCTAGAGGATGATATGGAACAAAGCCGTGGGATTACCACCCGAAAAAAGCTGATGATCTTGCCCCAGTGATGAATGTTCAGGATGAAACTCATGAAATGGTTTTGCAGTCTGAGGATGCAGACCTTTACTGTGGCGATGATGATAGTAGCAACGCAGAAGAACCCCTCCATCCATTTGAAGAGGTGATGCCCGAAGCCGGTGATGATGACGATAATTTTGAGCTTGCACGTAGGTTAACAGGAATTGCTCAGCCAGGAGATAGCAGAGTGTTCGAGTTCAGCCCGGAGTACCTAGGAGGGCATGTTCTTTTGAACAAGCATGCACGACTGTTGGTGAGGCGGCACGGCAAACTCATACGAACTAGACAGCAGCGCAGTTTCCTCGAAAAAATTGTGTCTGCATCTCAACAGACTTTGCCGCTGGTGTATCCGGAAGGAATGCTCTTTTATTCAATTTTTTGGGACTCATTACAGGATGGCTCTATTATTGGAGCAATTCCAACTGCGTTGCTCTGTGGTAACTCATACCTACGCCGTTTAAACATTGCAAGCCTACACGATCACCTGAGGTGTCGTCTCATGAACACCACACTTCTCACATCTGCAGATTACAGGTATCAGTTTTTTGCACTCGATCAGCTCGTGAATCTGGGATGCAGGGAACACGACACCCGTCTCATTCTGAACCGGGGTTTTGGAGAATGTATGAGTTCTAGTGGTATCCGAATGATACCGAACCAGGAGACCCAGTTTTATCGTGCCGAAACATTGGAGGCAAGACCCATTGTGCAACAGCTGGCAAGTGCTATTGGCGAACGCATGGCAACATGGTTCTATACGCACACAGTCAGCATGAAAAATCATGTTGTCATGAACCACTTGAAAGCATATCTAGAGAGTCAAGAAGCAATTGAAGATATGGCCGAGGAGATGGGAGTTCGTCCAGAGGAGCTGGCGTGGAAGGATCGTGAAAGAATAAAGTTGGAGCTCATTTCCAGTTATGCCTCGGTACTTGTTCGCGTGTGGGCCAACATTTCGTCCATTTGGATTCACTACATTTGTCATTCGCCTGAGAAGCCTGTTGGAACAGTTTACTGGAGTTTTACGCGAAATGAGTTGCAGGAACTGGTATCAAATTTGTTCCATACGCACTCGATTTTTTGGATTCTTGAGGACGACGGTGATGCGGATCGCCTGTTTGATCTTCTTGAGAGGGTCCGTGCTTCTATTTCTGGAATGGCCAGTCGCGACGAAATTGACGAGTACATGGCGGAAGGAGTCGTGAGTTCCCTTGAGCAGTTTTATGAAATCCTGAATGATCTTTCCAGGAAGCTGCGTCATCGCCATCATCGAAGATGCCTTGTCCCGGTTCAGAATCGCGAAGCTGCAGAGGGGTCATTGGACCGCAGTTCCCTTGCTACGTCATACAGGTGCAAGGTGCCCGACAACCACTTGCTCAGTCCAACTCCAGCGGAACATGCTTTATTTATATTGATGTAGAACACAGCGAAATGGCAGAGAAACTCCTGGTTGATTTGGGGCTGGTTGTTCGTGTTGAGAACCAGTCCGATCTCATTGATCACAATAACTTTCGGCATCTGTACTATGTTGACAAATCATTAGAGGCAAAGCGATATGTACCGCCCACTTCCGCTCAGGATTCGGTCCTGTCGCCAGTTTTCGCCAGGCTTGTCATCATCAACCCAAATTCTGACAATGCACAATATTTGGATTCTTATGGAGTCAGTAAGTTGCTTCTTTGCCATAAGGTGGTCATTCGAACTTAGTCACCACTTGCGCGTGTTCAACCCACTCCAAACTTCAAATGCTTTACAGGCAAGTACTTGGCGAAGTACGTGACTTCGGTGGATGAAACGGCTAGGGTGTATCTATCCGCGCCATCGGCCCAATTGCCCAACAGGCAGAAAATCTCCGTGCAGGAGACAGGAAACACAAAAATAACATCCGTCAAAGTGGTTCTGGAAAAGGAATCAAAGAAAAAGCGAAAACAAGTGAATAGCATAGCGCGAATGATGACGCAGACAGAGTGTTTGATGCTGCATTTTGGTATTCCAGCGGTGATCACAAACATTCGTTACGTGCACATTTCAACAACTGCACTTGAAGAGAGACCAGCTTTTGACAGATCCAAACCGTTAAAGCTGTTCTACAAGAACAGTCGTGAGGCAAGCCAAATCAGCAAGCTTGCTGATATCGACGAGAAGAAAGCATTGCCCGTCTTACACGCAAGAAGCAGCATACGCACGCTACGTGGACTGGCCAAGTGGCGCAAACATACTGAGGTTGATATCCTCACCGCCAAAGACCAGTTGCTGTGCCCCATGACTTTGGATTCCGTGACGCTGTTTTCACTTCGTCCACCAGAGCTCTCCATGATCCGACATCAGAGTCAGTTTCATAGGTGGTTTTCGCGTCAGCCGCTGAAGTTCTCGCAAAAAGAACGAGAGGGCAAAACACTGTATGAGGTGATTTTTGAATACTGTGAAAAGAGTCTCTCGCCTGCTTACGACAGATGTGTGTGGATTGATTCAGCGAATTACTGGATCAGAGTTCGACGCGCTGCACTTCCAGAGATCATTGCATATCTGCAAGCTTGTCCTGTGAAATGTTTCGGGAACAGTCATCGCGAGAAATCTACCGTTCAGGGTTTTTTCGAAAAGCTCCATCGCATGTACTGTGAATCGACCAGCTCAACAGGATTGCGGTCATCAGCTAGACGTTTCTGGGAATTTGCCACCACACATTTTTTGTGTGAACTCGACCAGAATTACCTGCCCGTCATCTGGTACACACCAATCAAACCCACTCAAACAAATCGATTTCTGTTTCATGTCTTACTGTCGATGGGATCTTTTCGGTCGGAAACCGAGTTGCTCATGAGCGGTTCAATGAGAGACGCGTTTCAGCACGCCGGATTATTTGATTCAAATGACCCCGAAGGCAGCGTCAAAAAGGTCACCAAAACATATTTGCTCAAGCAACTGCAGCATTTACCCGGTGGGACACGTCAGTTCGATCGTATGCTCCTGGCAGCTAACAAGGCTTTTCACAATCTATTTTTTGATAACACTTTGGCTGCGCAGGGGCTGCCTCCGGCTCTGTACACGAAACTGATAGATGAAACAACGAAAAAAGTCAGGAAACAAATTCAAAACATGACCCAAAGCATGTGCAAATGTTTGTTGGCAACATTGCAAGCCACCAATATTGCAGGACTTCCGGAACTTGACAAATTGATTGATAGCCAGACCAATGGCATAATTCCATTTGATATTGGTAATATCGAACAATCACAGCATCAGCCGGACGCGTCTTTTGTCGAGCAACAGTTTGCGCGCATCAAGATCAAAGAAAAGGTGTCACAATACACAAATGCATACGAATTCAGTCCAAAGTGTCCTGTGCTGATCGGAGATCCGGGAGCGGGCAAAACCACAACAATGCTCTTTGGCATTTGTATTCACTTACATGTGGCCTTCGCGCGTACATCACGGCCCTTGTCTGTGAGAGGGCTCAGGAACTTGGAGTTCTGCACATTGCCAAACTGTTCTGCATTCCCCCATTGAGAAATGCCACACCAGCGAGAACGGCGGAAGTTGCACTTTCGCGAATTTACTCATTGCCCCACATGTATCACTTTCTACGCGAAATCGATGTTCTGGGAGTCGATGAATTTGGATGTATTCCTGCGCAGCTGGTCACCGTGATGGATATCATTCTCAGGAGATTGCGAAGAAGCCCCAGGTTCATGGGAGGGGTGCTCCTGATGCCTACTATGGACGCGAAACAACTCTACCCTATCAAGGGAAACCATCCCATGTTGTCCAGCCACATCATCACCTGCTTTTCTTTCTATCGTCTTGAGTGGTCCGTCCGTGCTGCTCGCGATCCTCCATTATTGAGAATGCAAAAAATCACGCGAATGCGTCAATCTGAGCTGACGGAAGAGATTCGACAGGAATTTGTTGCATTGTTTGTTCAGCACGTGGGTCATATAGACAAGCTCACATCTCCGGGTGTGCCTCCCAACGCAACATTTGTGTTTGGTAAAAAAGAACCAGGCAGGCGCATTTTGGATCATCTTCTATCACAAGTGAAGAGGAACAAAACCTACGTAATGAGTACTGCGGTTGACGAAGAGTCCACGCTAGAGAGTGACTGGAAAGTCGCATCGTCCTATGTCAAGCACACCTTGATAATGTCAAGGAACCTCACTCCCTGGTTCTGTACAAGGGCGCCGTGTATCAGGCTACCTTCAATTATGCAGGACGTTTCTCTCAGGCACAGCTGGTATACCTCCATGAAATTCCCCCCCAATCCACTGTGAATGAAATGAAGCCATTTGATGCGTACGTTGCTCCACCCGGCTGTCGTGAGGCCCCACCTTTGGATGTTACAGTACAAACGTTGGTTGAAGAGTTGGGCTGGAAGAAGGTCAAGGTAACAAAATGCCCGGCTCATTCGCGGCACGTTCAGAGAAACACGCTCGCGCGTCGAATTCAATATGGCTTGAGGCTCTTCACCAGTGCAACAATCCATGGAGTCATGGGCCAGACTCTCAATGTTCTCGTGTCTCAAGTATCAGACGAAGATCCTTTGTATTCACTTTGGGAACGTGAACAGGTCATTGTCCTTCTCTCTCGCACACGACGTGCTCGTGACATGATTTTTGCAGGAGACAAAACTCAAACGGCTAATGCCCTTTTCAACGCATTGTTCAAGGTATCCCAATTTTCGGAGTACATAGAGCATCTTCTGGATCGTCTCATCGAATACCACCCAGAGCACCCTCGCCATTCTTCACACCAACAAACTCCTCTGACTCTACGGCAACATGCTATCCACTATGCACAACATCCTTTTAGAACAAAGGACGCGGAAATACCAAGCAACTGCTCCGGATTTGCATACATACTTGTCTCTCAGGCGCAACCCGATGTGACATACATTGGGGAAACACAGAACCTCAGAGAGCGACTCACTCTGCACTATCAGGGATCCGCCTGCTCTCAGACTTCTATCGAGCACCTACGACCTTGGGGAATGCTTGCATTTGTGGCGGGGTTTGAGTTTTCCAAGAGCCGTCGAAAAAGTTTTGAAAGTCGCTGGAAAGCTCTGCGTGATGCTCTTCGTGGGTCTTACTCGGCCCAAAAGGTGGCGGAGCTGGCTCTTCAGGTGATGGCCGAAAGGCAGAGAGACTACCCCGAAGAAAAACTCAGTTACGTTCAATCAGTTATATGATGGTTTAAATTCATTTACACATAATACTCAGTTCTCGTCACAAGTGACATGTCAGCAACTCGCTCATTTTTGGCACTGCTGTCTCACGCACCATCGTCAACAGCCGCCACCTCAGGCGCTCCCAATCGCTTCTTTTTAAACTCTTCATCTTCGAGATCGCGAATTGATTTTTTTGTGGGCATCAGGAACACTATGTGCAACTTCGTTTCCATCGCCTCTGTCGTGACATTCTCATTGCTTGCATCTTTCGTTTGACCACGTCTGTACCAACCGATTACGGTCCAACCATCATTGGTGTTCACGTACTTCACCATGTCCTTTATTTGTGTTTTCCACGTGCATGAAATCCATGGCCTCCTTTTCGGTCTTTTGAAATGCTTTATTGTCATGTACCAATAGCTCGGTGAGCCTGAGGGATCGAAAGTCACGTATTTCCACATACCCTTTCATGTTAAATGCTTCCGGAACACTGAGCCCTATCGTCAGCTGGCCAATTGTCGCGTTCTTGTCGATTCCAGTGTGCATGCATCCGCAGCCAACGTTCTTGTCTGTCAGGGCTTTGCTGCGATCACACATGCGTCCCCTACACGACACTGTTCCATCAGTGACGTACTTGAAGCGCGTCACAGTAATTGTCTTCTTGTGAAGAACAAAGTAGTACATCCGGTCCGCAGTGGGTTCGACAAGAGGGACAGAGGGGAAAATGTCTTCCAGCTTATCAGGCAATTTCATGGGTGCCAATGGATGAGAGCTCAGAACCTTTGGCATGTCCGATTTAGCCATGGTGCCATCCGAGTATGGCTCACCCAGCATGAAAGGAGTTCCAAGAAATGAAAAACGCGTACACTGCTTCAGACCCTCCTGTGAATGCCCTGGTTCCTTGAAATAGACAGAAAAGCAACAGTTGCTGTTGTTCAGGTCGCCACATTCGATCATTCTTGATAATGTTTACACAACCACCACAAGGAATCATTCATCATGTTAGAAATAAGTCATGGCTATAGCGCTCGACGATTTTGGGAACACACCTGTCGTATTTCACTAAGTCACTGACTCTTTGCCTTTTGGGGTCCTTGCCAAATCCTCCAGGAAAACGGGATGCTGCCGCTGCAGCTGACGCGACCTTTGAAGCAGTGGAGTGCTTCAGATTCAAACCAACAAAATAAATAGTTTTCAGGGCAAGTTCCTCATCCTTTACATCAGTATCACTTGTTTTTGATGCTGTGATGATTGCCGACTTGTACTGAGTATCCTCTGGGCGTCCAAGCCATGGGGCACGAACTCCTTCGCAGAGATGATCCCTGTCTGCGTTTTCAAAGGGCATCGTGTTCTGCATGTTTACACATCATGTCATTTGCAATAGTTTCATTCATGAGATGGCATCTGGATTTCTCACGTGATAGCTGAACAAATAAGAAATAAGCACGCCTTGATGTGTACGTACCCTTGTAGAAGAAACAAACAATCAAAAGCTCAAATCCTACAACCCAACTATCCAAACTATGAGCTCTGAGAACTCAAAAAAGACAAGGCATATTTTTGATTCTTCTTCCACTATTCATAGAAGTTACAATTTTATATGACATTGTAACTTTAATTAAATTGTAACTATTGACATTGTAACTTTAATTGAATTGTAACTATAGAGAAGAGACTGTAGCAAAAGAACCCACAAACAAGAATCTTATTCAAAGGGACCTGGCTAATCCAATCAATAATAGCCTCATAAATTTTCTCTCGGCTGCTCAACAATCAATTTTAGCTCTGGAATCTTGGGCACTAACATTGTAGGATTCCCTAAAGTCTCTTTGGTTCGCGACTTCTGTATCAGAATATTGACGAATTAGTTACTTTTTACGTGAGTTAGTTAAAGAAGCAGTTTTCGCGTGAATTTATGGTTGTTACAACTCATTGTGACGCGTCATTTTGTTTCAGAAAATCTTGTTCCAAAATTCTCATGGAAACACCAGCCAAGGCAAAGCGCGGGTCCAGTGACGACGAGCCGTGCACGCCGAAGAGGCTAAAGATCGGAGACGTCCGTCGCAACATCAAGCTGGCGAAGCTAGGTTGCGAATATCTCTATATCGAAAAAGTCCAAAACAACATGGAACTTATCACGCTTGAGGAATCCCCTGGCCAGGATGGATTTCTTAACCCTATTCGCGAAGATATTGATAACAACGGGCATCTGTCGCAGTCTCATGCATTGACAACCATAGTCACGCGTCGTATCTCCATTACAAATGAGAACGATTGTTTGAACATTAGAGCCACGGGTAAAGCACATGAATTCTACCCCCGCCAGTTTATCCTCGCGTGGCCAGATAAGGAGTCAACAAAGCAAACCAGAGCCAAAAAGCTCACTGATATTGCAGCTTTCCTCAACTCCAAGGAAGAGTCGCGCAGCCTTCGTCGCGACAGTCCTTTGAAGAAGCTAGCAGACAAGCGCAAAGACGCCAATCTTCGAAAGTACATTGTTCCAAAAAATTATGATCTCACGCCCTCTGATGAAGGAATGTTGCACAAGTTGGGTCACTTTGTTAAGCCCGCTCACGTCGTGGGGCTCGTGCGAAGCTCCTATGAAAAGGCAAGTGGCTCGTGGTACTGGAACTTCCGTGCTTTCGCGAAAACATTGTTTGATTCGCCGTATCCGACCATTGCACAAGCCGAGCTCGGTTATCCTGAGGAGGAAGATTGAGCCAGGGGGCACGGGGGTCCCCTTTGGGGTGTGCCCACTGGCCCTATCAAAAATCAACTTATTGTCTTACACCATCGGAGTCTTTCTTCGCGACCTCGACGCGCACCCTTATCGCGACATTGACTTGCCCACTGGCCCTACAAAAAACCAACTTATTGTCTTCCACCGTCAGATCACATCCTCGTCGCACATCCATATCCAAATATCAGCGTGCATCAATATCGCGAATCTATATCGCGACATTGACGTGTGATCTTAACATGTATTCATTACGCGACTACACCTAGCCATCTCTCGCAATTCCTATATATTTGTGTCACTCTCGCAATATTTTATAGCAACTTTAAATTATCTGTTGAAATGATTACTATTTATCGTGTATTGCATACTGCTTTAATATGCTTCTAGCTAGCTACTTCCAGAAATCAGCATTGTAGATTACTAACATGCACAACAAATCACCTCAACTTTTGCACGCTATCACCAATTATGTACTATCAAATTTCTTCTCTCCGCCAAATCCGTGTTTGGAGCTCTTCTTCCTCTTCTTTTTCGCGTCATTTCCTTTCGCGTTGACGACCTTCGCGTCACGGACCTTTCCCTTTTTCCGGTCCCCACGCGAAATGGAGACTTTGGGCCTTTTGCGCGACATGCTAACTTCCAAAATATTGTCACACGCCTCGTTTTCGCTTCTCTTCTGTTTGCGCGGACACGGTGCAGCAGAATTCACCTTTTGAGCCGCCTTTTTCATGCCAGAGGGCGATTTTTTCGTGCCAGATTGTGATTTTTTTCCACGTTGCCAGTCATATTTCCCGTAGATTTTGTAGTTGCATTTTTAGCAAAGGGCTTTTTACCGACGGAAGCTAGCTCTTGCCCAGGTTCATACCAAAGAATTTCTTCGCCTTTCTTGATGAGTTTCGTCGCCACAATCAGACCGTCTTCGTAGAGAGTGCAATTTTTTGCGTTGAAAAGTGCTTGGAGTAGCTCTTGCAGCTCGTCGTCGCTCAAGTCCATTTGCAATATTCGGTGCAAAATGGCCCAAGAGATGTGCGCCCCAAACAGCATATCAGCATTTTTGACTCCTGGTCCGTTGAAATGTTTGGCAACCAAAATCATAGCTCTTCCGTCACAGCCGCGAATAGGGAACATGCTATCTTGCACATCGATCTTGGGATTTGTCACGACATGCGCGCCAATGTTGTTATTGGCCGCAATTTGGCGCAATAACTCCGGGTCACTGGGAAGTTTCGTAAAATCAACATCGGAACATTGCCAGTACTTGGGTCCAGTGACCATCGTGATAATGTCGCCTTTGTTCAAAGGACGCCCCGCGAACAAGTTCGGAACTGTGATTCCGCGACAATAATTCTGTTTCGGTAGCCAATTAGAGTTCTTCACTACAATTTGGGGAATCCACCTTCTTTTGGTTTGGCCTTTGCTGTCCGGAGCCCCCCAAATGTACAGAGTCTTCTTGTGGCCGTCCATCGCCTCGTAGCAGTGCTCGTCATTGCGTTGCAAGGCCTGACCCGCGGCCGAAAAAGTTTTGCAACCCGCGTCCGTCCGCCTTCTGTCTTCGTCACATTGAAGACTCCATTTAAACCACGGACCATCGTCATCTTCATTGGGCTCGTTTCTGCGCTCTTTTCTGAACTCCATAGCATCAAGCGCCGCAGGAGGGTTTCCGTTAGCGTGAGTTGCTCCCATCGCAGTAGAAACGATTTTATTCATGTTTTTAGACTTTTGATGCGCGCGACTCGTGTCATGACTTCCCAAATGGCCCAGGTAATACCAGCGACCCTTTTCGCTGTTATGCATATCCAAATAATCGTGTAAGTTCGTGCCCACTCCAAAATGGGGTCTAATTGTCGCAGTGGATTCGCCGCGGCTTTCGCCACCGGTGCAAAACACGCCGAAGCAACTGGACTAGTATCGCTTTCTTCATCCTCAACAAGGCCCAATTTTTCCTCCTCAAGAGCCAGGAACAATGCATGTTCACCCGACCGTACTAGGTCGTTGCCATGCTCCTGCAAGTATTTCACCATTGCCATGTTCCTGGCCATGTAATTCTCGTCGCCGACACCAGCCTTTTTCATGACTTTCAGGAGCGCAATTCGTGACTCTCGATGTTCTTTAAGCCATTTGCCAGTCACGAGCATCCACTGTTTCTTCTTCTTCTGGAAGATTAGATGCGATTTGTGCTTTGGGCCTACCGACATCGTTCTCTTATCTCTCGCAAGTTGCTGCGCGATTTCATCCATTTGTATCTCCGTCAGGACTATCTTGCACTACGCTAAAAGCTAGTGTAAAGATCTTTCGAGTGTTTTGAGTTTGAGAGAATGAAAGTTATAAGAGGATTAGAAAGCTATGAAAACTAATCAACGAGAGAGATCCACAATCAAAGGATCGTAGATCTGAACTCCCGCGGGAGACTGTAGAGTGTGATAGAGTAGGTTGCGGTTAGCATCCTACTCACTCCACGATCCAAAACGGAACGCGTGGAAGATTCGTCTAGCATTTATCTAGTAGCGTGGAATCTCTCCACGCCACTAAATTTCTAGCGCGATGTTTCACCATCGACCTAGTATGACTACGGCATGAGAACCCTGTCTCAATGACTATTCACGAAAGACTCAGTCATGAGTCGAACTCAAACCCTATCTAGGATCGAGTCGCGAATAAGGCTAAGAGCCGTGTATTGCATTCGCCCCCTGACAAGGGTCACGGAAGGCACGACATCAGTCGGACAAGGAGAACATATGATTTAAAGTGCGGGGCACTCTCCGGAGATTGGATGTAGACATGTGCGTCGCACGATGCAATCCTACAAGGGGATCAGGCCTTGTATGGGTGTAAATACCTTATGTTCCAAGTCTGGTAGACTGTGCCGCTATTGGCGGTAGATGTCGCCGTACAGTGCCATTTATTGACCGGTCTTGTGGTAAGGACCTTTGCTTGCTGACCGTATTACGGTTCTGATACTGATGAATCATCATAGTGTCGTTGACATGGTGTTGATGAGGACACGTGTCGTGTTCTCCCTTCGGTGTTTTTCTGGATAAGTCGTTGGCGACGTTCCTTGATGTTTTTCCGGTTTGCTTTGAAAGGATGTGTGAAGCTTGTCACGATTGACGCGCGTGAACTTGCGACGAATCCATGTCATCCCGGAGAGTCTTCTCGACCTCTACGGGATCACGTTCTCTGTCCATGACGACCGGTCATGGATACTGGGTAACCCACGTCTGTTCAGAACGATGGTTACTCCGTCTGCTGTCTGGAGCAGCCCTTGGTAGTTCATTGGTCCAATGAATCTACGAAGTTACTTCCTGTTGTAGGAAGAGCGATAGCTGGATCGCTCTTTATCTTTTGTTAAGGTTGGCTTCCTTCTCGAGAAGTCCAATTGTCTAGATCTCCAGTTCTTCCTATCGAGAAGGCCTTGTAGTGTTGATTTCAATCCCGACTTCTTGGATTCTTTGGGGAAAGGTCATCCTAGTTCAACGCGATCTGCGAAATCGACGTCCGTTAGGATGAGTGATCATCAACTATGCACGGACATTTTCTAAGTCATGCATGCGTGCTTTCATCTTCTTTGGAAGATGTCGGGACTATTACATAGGCCCATTGGCAACCTCTGGTACTCGTGCTTCCCTTCGGGATGGCAATGGCATATGCAGCATAGTTGCTTCGAGTGAGGTGACAGCTCGATGTGGTTTTGTCCCGTGTTCAGGTCTAGGACTGTAGCGCACTTGAATCCATCTGGGTCAAGAGCATGTCCTGTATTTTGGGATAGGATAAGGCTTCCGCTTGATCCGTTTGTCGGTTCCCGAAAAGCCGAGATAATCGTGCAGATCCCTCTTCTTGGGAACGATAAAAGGTTGGTGCCGCCCACTTGGAACGTTCACCTTCTTGAGTGCCCCTGTTTCGCAGAGACGTTCAACCTCCTTCTTAAGAGTGTTGGTATGGACTCGGGAGTAGGGTGAGCCCTAGTGTAATAGGATTTAACGTCGGGACGAAGTTTTACTTCGTAGTCGTCCCTTCGCAATCTCCCAAGTATCCTCGACTGGTCGAAGCACTGGTTGAAAAGGCATGAGGCAGTTCTTGCTCTCCTTATTTAACGATTTCGACTCTGGCTATCTGCCTTAAGCCTATTTGTTCGTATTTCGTATCAAGAATCTTCTGAGACTATTGCATTGTGCGTGACAGCTGCAGAATCGGAAATGGAGATTCTCCTTTCTATTGGTTGCCTCTTTCGCGGAAAAATGCTGTTCCACCCCAATGATAGGTAGTGAAATCAACTTGATTGATTCTTAGATCGTAGAGAGTGTTTTGACCTATGTCACGTCTTGCGCCCCCAAGTTCTTGTGACGGTAAATTCCACTTGATAATTCTACTTTCGGGAACTCAGGAATCCAGTGTGCCTTACACTTCGTGCGGGGTCTCATTCCTTATAGAAGCAGTCCGTATTTTGGACGCCCCATGATTCTTTGAGTAAACTCTTAGCATGAGTTTGAGCAATTAAAGTTCCGGATGCTTCTTGTATCCAGTAAGCAACAGAGTGTAACGGGTTTTCGTCCCTTTCGCTCGTCTGTTAAATCTAACATAGACGTAGTTTCAAGGTCTTTGTCGTGCGACGTTGATGAGTTGATTGGCCAGGACGAAGTTAACGATGCTGAACAGATGTCAGAGTCTAGTTGAGCAGTTACTAGACAATTATCTAATTTGCCGTAGACTTCGTTAGTTGCAAACATTCTTGTTTACTATTTAGTGAGATATCTTCATCACTTAGGTATGAGAAATCGGAACATGGTTCCGTTGAATCATAATCCTCAGACGGAGATCTCTCCATCCGAAAGATTGAAGTCGAATTCGCGAAGCGCCTGTCGACAGCGGCCATCTCTTGTCCATCATGTTTGATGGATCCAACAGAGGAGTCGTCCTCGTTGTCGAGTCAGACTTCGCTTGGCGAACATGGTTGCATTCGCTTTCCTTCTTGCGATCAGCCTTGACCGCAGCGTTGGAAACCTTCTCTCATGAGGACAGAGAGTTCTTCTTGGTGTAGGTCTTGGCGTCGTCGGACTTGCGTTTCCAAGTCTTGTTCTTGTTGTACGTTGGCTTGTTATCGTTGTCAGACGAGACTGAGACTTGGCCTTGAGCTTCTTCAAAGTCATGCAGTCAGCAGTGTTGTGAGTGCTGGACTCGTGGTAGTCGCACCATTTCTCTTCGTTCTTGAAGAGTGTCGTTGTTGCGGTAGACTTGTACTTCTTGCTGTTGTTCTTCTTCGCAGGAGCTTGCTTGGCATCACCGCCCTTGTCAAAGTCTTCGGAGGATTCCATGCGTTCGCAGAATCCAATGGTTTCCCGATAGGAGCTGAGAAAGGATCGAAGTCGTGTTCGTCATCTTCTTCATCCACGAGCGTGGAATTCCATGACAAACAATGTCAATGACTTCGTCATGGTTCAACGTTTGGTTGGGTCCAAAAGTGGTAGACGAGGAAGTTCATCGGTGTCATCCGACTGAGGTTGTTGACATAAGCCCGAGGACATATCAGCAGGCTTACGCATCTGCGGCGCATGAAGCGTTCTGCTTTTCAAGAGCCTTGTAGGGACAGACCGTTCGATACAGGCATTTATGCAAACGTAATGTCAGGTCGTCAAAGCAGGCTGAGCTCTCCGTTCCAGGCACTGAAACGTGCTTGGAAAGTGGCTTCGTCTTCACCGCCACGTATGTGCGAGGAGGAATCGCGTTGACTGCAATCTGGCGCAAGGCATTCCAACGTATTTCACGGTGGCCTGCACAGCTAGATTCGTAACTCTCTTGGCAGAGCTAGAAGTCATCTCCTTGGGAGGTTGTGTTTGTCGTAAGGCGTAGCAATGGCGCCCGACGAAGACCTTCTCCATTACGTCCAGCCCACTTGATGGTCTGACGTGGGGTCTCGATCCATTGATGATTTGGACCTTGAAGGTGTACTTGGCGCTGTTAGCATCTGCTGGAAAGTGCGAAGTTTGTAGGTGGTAGAGCGAGAACGTCGATTTCGCATTCATCATCGAGGTCGATGAGAGGAAGGATTGGTTTGTCACGCAGCTTGGACCGAAGCGGTGTATGCGTCTTTGGCAACTTCATGGTGAGAATAGTTGAGGTAGCTGAAAGCTATGTGTGTTTGTTAACAAAATGCACTACGCTAAAAGCTAGTGTAAAGATCTTTCGAGTGTTTTGAGTTTGAGAGAATGAAAGTTAGTAAGAGGATTAGAAAGCTATGAAAACTAATCAACGAGAGAGATCCACAATCAAAGGATCGTAGACTGAACTCCCGCGGGAGACTGTAGAGTGTGATAGAGTAGGTTGCGGTAGCAATCCTACTCACTCCACGATCCAAAAACGGAACGCGTGGAAGATTCGTCTAGCATTATCTAGTAGCTGGAATCTCTCCACGCCAGCTAAATATCTAGCGCGATGTTCACCATCGACCTAGTATGACTAGCGGTCATGAGAACCCTGTCTCAATGACTATTCACGAAGACTCAGTCATGAGTCGAACTCAAACCCTATCTAGGATCGAGTCGCGAATAAGCTAAGAGCCGTGTATTGCAATCTCGTTGATTTCCTTTATATTGACAGCTGTTAATTTGAACCCATCATCATCACTATCGTCGTCCTCGCTGTCGTCATCTTCTGAATCGTCTTCTTCTTCACCTGACTCATCCTCATCATCATTGTCATTCTCGCGACCTCCAGGATTGTTGTTGCTGTTGTTGTCGCTTTCGTTGCCATTTGTGCCGCCGTCACCGTCTTCAGATCCTCCACTGAAAAACCCACCACTGTCCGACGCATCGCTCTCGTTGTTCTGGTCATGACTCTTCTTCTTGCCCGCGGGCTTCTCATGAGAGTCTCCAGATTCGCTGCCTTCAGAACTGCCGGCATCCTGCACTTCCCCCACTGCAGTCCCGAGTCCTACCATCTTGCCATCAACATAAATAGGTACTTCTTCAAACACTTTCAACACTCCGCAGCTGACTCCTCCATGCTTCTCTATGTCGTAGAAATTCATTGAAAGGCACACCCCCTTTCTCGTGTTGCTTTTGGGAAGCTTCAGTTTCATCTCGGGTGACGTCTTCCAGATCGTCCTTCCACAACCATGGACTTTCGTGGAAACATCAGGTGCAAGACGAGTATCCAACCACATCCTTTAACAAGTTAATCTTTCTATCAGTACAACTTTTTGTCTTTCCTTTTATTGTGGTCTATCTCTCTTCATCACACATCAAGAAAAGCCACCACAGGAAGGAAAAGCCACCACAGGAAGAACAAAAGCACAGGAAGGAAAAGCCACGACAGGAAGGAAAAGCCACGACAGGAAGGAAGCCATGACAGGACAGGACAGGAAGAATTCAATCAGTTCTTTAGAATTCTCTCCTGTTCCTACTATAAATCCTACAGTACTTCTTGTGTTTCAGCGCGTCCTTGTAGCTTAAGTCCAGTCGTGTTTTTTAAAGTCCAGAGGTGCTCCGTAGAAGCTCTTGACCAGCACCACAGCCAGCAACGTTGCCACCCAAGCCATCAAACCCGTCCATTAGGAACCAGCCACAACGACTACAATAACAATGGACGCGAAGAAACCCAATTATCGCAAAGGACGGAAAAAGGGCTTCGTGGCCCGGTTTCGCGTAGACTGCTCCGGACACACTCGTGTGTTCGCGGGAATTCCCCAAGAAAGCGATATTCTGTGCGAAATCGGGGGAGATCATGGTAGCCGCAAAGGGTGAGTGAACGTTAGGACTAGTCTAGTTATTTTGTTTCTATTGATTTATTCGTCTCAACTCTGCCCTTTGCAGGAACAAGCAATGGCGCCAATTGCTTTCAGCCAACTTGTGGCTATGGAGAGAACTCCCGCAAAACCGTGATCTAATCGCCAAGAGCATTGTCCTGGCCATTATGAGCCAGAACGGTCGGTTCCTCTTCAGGGGAGTCGGCGCCATGTGGTGGGTTATGGACAAACAGCACGCAGAAGAAATGACTAATAGGGCGCTTGAGAAGGCAAGCTGCTTGGAATTAGAACTGTCAGTCATTGCCCCGGTGAGCTTATTTCAACACTCTATTCCAACAGAGCCGTTGCATGCTTTCGGAAACACGAATATCAAGCATGCATTGATGACTGCAACAAAGCCTTGGAAAGTGATCCCACAAACGAGAAAGCATACATTCGAAAGTGGAGATCACTCATGGTTCTTGGTAACTTTGAAGAAGCATGTGGCTGTTTGAACACGGACACAGACAAATCCATCATCCAAAACACTCAGGGTGGAGCTTGATAAGATCACACCAGAAAAGCAGCGCTGGAGCTTGCTTATGAAATGATAGATGAAGGTGACCTTCACAAGGCCAGAGAAACCATCAAACCTCTGGCACAAAAACCGGACAACATTCGCCTGCTTCTGGTGGCTGCACGTGTAGACTATTGCCTTGGATTGACGAAGCCTGCGATGGGCAACATCAGAAAAATTTTGCGGGTGAATGCCAAACATGTGGAAGCCCGCATGCTGGAGCAGGGCTTCGGATTAGACGTAGGAGCCATGCAGATGAGGCAAGACATAAACAGAACAAAATTCTGTCGCGGAGTGACAGTGCCAAAGCCATGATGGAGAGCACAGCCGAACATGCTGGAAGGCGCTCAGACTGGGTGATGAAGCATGCAGCAAGGACGCAACGAGGATCCTGGTTTGTAATGGCTGGGGCCAATGTGCGAAATCCATGAAGCTGGTCTCACCCAAGGATGACAACGATGGACATAGGGCAGGAACCGAGTCAGAGTCAGAACCTGTAGCGACCGCTTCGTCACTAGACAAGACGAAACGGAAACGATCCACGAGCGAGATTCGTGTCATTGGCCGTTCGACGACCTGGGCTCGCGTATGAGTGAAAACTCGTGTGACTTGTGCGGAGGTGCCTTTGCTACGATAGAAGAGCTTGAAAACCACATCAAGTCGCGCCACATCAAGTCAGATCTCGGGCACATTGAAAATGATGCGGGACGAGCAAGTTTGGCGGTTCGCCAAGCTTCCAAGGAGGTGTGCAGTCAATTTGCCGGTGAAGTTGACAATGGATCTGCCGAGCCTTCCGGGCGAAGTGGTCGTGTACGTTCTGGTAAGGTCGGAACGGCCTTCAGAATGTATGGGGCTGGTGAGGTGGCGACGGCCCTCAGAAAGTATGAAGCTTTTCATGGCATGGGGTCCGGTACAGCCACTGAAAGAATGGTTCGCGATAGCTCCGCTGGGATTGACGGATGGGCTTCAAGCAACATGGTTGTCGGCCTGAGAGCACACGCGGATCCGCTTGTCACGAGAAGGCTGAGCAGACTGGGCCTTCAAGGGATACCGGTACCGGTACCGGTACGGAAGCGGAGAACAACGAACACTTCAGCTGATGCAGCAAGCTCCCAAGTTTCTAACTCGAGTGGCCGGAAGGGCGACAAAGAGGACAGTCGAGAGGCGGGCAACTGCCTGCGCCTTCAAGGGATACGGACAAAAGCGAACGCTTCGGCCGATGCAGCAAGCTCCCAAATGCCTAATTCAAGCGGCCGCCAGGGCGAGACAGGCAACTTGAAACTCGAAGGAGCCAAGAGCTCCACGGAACTAGCATCAACAATGTACTCCCGACGAGTCTCCAAGATTGCCCGGAGCTGCTCTGATGGTGACGTGAAGGTGTTCTGTCAGGAGCACAAAAAGCTCGACATGGCTCGTTACAAATGCCCTTTTGATGGGAAGAACCACCAGAAACGACAAGGAATAGACGAGGCGAAGTACATTGCTCACGCCCGCTTTGCATGTACCGGTAGCATCAACGGCGACAGTGACGACAACCGGCGCGGCATTGTCAACGAAGATTCAGAGATCCACGGGGCCCCTATAGAAGAAGAACGGAGCCACAACGAGTTGGAGGCTGTCGCTGAGCAGACAAACGCCAACGATGGTGCAGCGGATGCTGACATCGAGATGGCGGACAGCGCTGAGTGTTTCAACGAAACTGCTGCTGGCAATGATCATGGGTTCGCGGGAGAGCAACTGTCAACGGGAGACGACAGCGCTTGGGACGAAAGCTGGTCGCGAATCTCCGACATTGGTGATTTGGTCCTTGATAGTCCTGATGATCCCTGGGGTGGTTTTGACGGGAGCGAGGCGTTCAGCTTTGTTTGCGTGGACGGTGCTTCAGCGGACGAAAAATAGTCTTCATACAGCACCGGTACGGTGAGGGCCTGTGAGTTTGAGCAGGGGTTAGGACCGACATAGACATACATGTTCTGGTACAGTGTACTCTCATCGCCAGTACCGGTGTAGCGGTACCAGGTACATACGACTGTACCAGGATCGGTACTGGTCGGAGCTCCAACATTCAGGACTCGACTCGACTCGACGTCGTCTCGAGCTCCATCGATTACCGACAGCTCCTGGATCTTGGACGAAAGCCACACCGGCCAGCCGGACCGAAAGAACATCTACAAATTGAATATTTTTTATTAAATAAAGCCTTGTGTTCACTGTGTCGCCACGTACATCGTAAGTCGTCAAAGTTCAATGGATGCTTCAATCGATACCGTATGTCATTGATTTAGATGTCACTGAGAGCACCTTGGGGTAAAGATGTAAAGATTGATTCTTGGAAAAAAGCTTTTTTTTAAAACAGTTTTGTTAAAAACATTAACAATATGAATCTCTTACAGAGTATAAGACAGTCTTTAACATAAGACAGTCATTGTCTTAAGACAGTCATTGTCTTATACATAAGACGGCATCTGAAACATCCAGAGGGATGAGGAGATTTTGTGGTTAGTAAATTAATAATCTACTTCATCCTCCTGTCTCAAAAAAGACATCGTCTGAAGTATAAGACAATGACTTCTTTAAGACGGTCATCGTCTTAAGTTTAAGACGGCTGTCTTTTATTACAGAGTCATCGCCTTATAGTGTGAGACAGCTGTCTGAGTGGGACTCAACTTCAAAGTGTGATTTTCTTTTTTCCAAAAAGAGTTTTTTCAATTACCACTGTTTCACCAGGAGGTGGAGCTGCGAAGCGACAAACTACCAGGACCGTCCGACGGTTTTCACACAGGATTTTAAAAAACTTGAAATTGCCACGACTGATGACCGATTAAAACAATCCCGTAAACAATCCCTTAACTCATCAACTATCCCTTAAACAATCCCTTAAAGAAACAATCCCTTAAAACGATCCTTTCAATCTTGGACTATCCCTTAAACAATCCCTTAACGCCAAATGGAAACACCATAGAACTATCCCCTATTTCTTCAACTATCCCCTAAACAATCCCTTAAATACACAATCCCTTAACAACAAGCCTTTAAATCGTTTATTATCCCTTAAACAATCCCTTAAGAAACATTCCCTTAATTGTGGTGATCAAGTTTTTAATCAGTCGTGGAAGCTTTTAAATCCTGAGTGAAAACCGTCGGACGGTCCAGGCTACCAGGTACTGTACCAGTACTCTATTTTTTGCACTATTCATACTGTAGTATTTATTTAATACTCGTAGGAAGCTGCGTAGCTGTACTCAGTGGTGGAAAGCAAGACTTAATCAGTGAATCGTATTTAAATGTATGTTACAAGGACAAATTTCGCAAGTGCTCGTAACGAATTAAAGGCAAAAATGCCTTCGGGAAGAGGTCGCGAACCACTTGCGACGATGAAATGGGGATGGTGGAGATAGAGACTTGGCTACACCCTGGCTCCTACCTACGGTATTCTGTAGTCTAATCTGAGCCATTTTCCGACCGAATTGGGGGCTAGTGATACCGTATTGACACCAAATTTTGGTAGCGTTGCATTGCTAGCTAGCTGCCGCCCTACCTGTTTTGATCTTTTTCTCTTTTGAACTCTGAATCTCTGAATTGGCCTGAGGCCGTATTCCCGTGACTATTTACAGGTGCGTGATGTAGCGGCTGATCGGCTGAGCTTCCCAGCCACTGTCAGCTCTTGCATTGGTGAAAGAGTGAAGTTCTGGAGTTCTGAGTGAAGTTCGACTGTAGCAGCAAGTGATGAGTCAGCCCCAGGAGTTCCATTTCAGTACTGTACCATAAAGCCGACAGTGGCAACCCAAGTTCCCTGCCTTCCAGCAAAAGGGGCCATCAGGGATCCACTGCTATCCAAATGCCAGTACGCTGGACATTCGGCAGGTTCCTCCTCACCCACCACACCGCAAAAACCGCAAAACCGCTTTTGGTACGATGGATAATAATGCGGAAGGTGGTCAAAGGTATCCAGCTGCAACCACCACCAAAATCGGCACAAAGCTACCACCGGTATAAGCTAATATCCAAGAAAAACTCCCAAACCAATCCTTTTTAATAGACTGCAACCATGGCGAGCGCTGATTCTGAAGTTGCTGAGCAATCTGGGGTTTGGAGTTTCGTCAAGCCGACTGGTAGCAAGAAGACGAAGAAGAAAGACAAGAAGAACAAGCAAAAGAAGGACAAGGCGGAGAGAAAGCGAGGTCGGACATCTGATTCTACCCAAGATACCGAAGATACTAATACTGTTATCGTCAATGCTCATAATGTTATGAAAGAACTGAGCAACTCGGATAATGTCAAGGCTCCCTTTGACCACGCGATAATGGAAGAGTCGGCGTCCCAAGTGGCTCGAGAAGAACACGGCAATAAGATGGACTGGTCTGCAGGGATGGGCTCTTCCTTCTTTACTGCTAGGTCTAGAAGAAGCAGTTCTAGAAGTAGTGCTTTCTCGGTGGGGAGTGCCGTCATGTGGCCAATAAGGCGTATCAGTTCAGCCGTCGGTCTGGGCCCTAAACGACCTACTTTGAACCAGGAAAAGAGCTTGCTGATCAGTGCCCTCTTTGATGGTTCCGACAACGATAACAACAACGTGCCTCGTGCGTCCTTCCACAACAGTGGTGTCAGCGACAAGACGGACTGCAGTCGACGTGGAAAGCGCAGTAGTATCCTGAGATACCGAAAGAAACTTTCAGCAGAAATGGAAGATGACGATCTGACCGATTTCAGATATTCACAGCAAACGACAAGCATACCGTCCAGTTTGCTGAGTAGCAACCGAGGTGTCTCCATTTCCAATCTGCAGGAATCCCTTGAATTGTCCAAAAGCACCAGTTTCAAGGTGGCATTTGAAGGAGTCGATGGAGGCGATGCCTGGCGGAAGATTATCAAACCTTTCGTCAGTGACCTCGCCTTTGAATCAATTGTCACCAGACGGGCGGAAAGTGCTGTTTGTTTTGACCCATACACATGCGAGGCAGCCGTGTTGTTTGTCGACCTTTCCGGTTATTCCAAAATTACCAGTGCCATTGCCCATCGAGGAGCTCATGCCATGAGTTCCGTCGTCAATGCATACCTGGATCGACTGCTCAAGATTATTGATCGATATGGAGGCGATGTTATCAAATTTGCAGGAGACGCCGTCTTGGTGGTTTGGGCCGGACAGGAAGGCGATGATGACGAACTGGAATACAACCTGCTATGTGCCTCCAAATGTGCGCTCGAATTACAAAGACAGGCAGGATCGCATCCCGTCAAACGAACCAACCACAAGTTCCAGATCCATTGTGGCCTTTGCTGCGGGATCATGGAATCGGAAATCTTTGCCGCTCCCACTCATATACACATGCAACGGTTGTTCCATTCCGTTTCTGGCAAGTGCTTGAGTGAAATTAGTGAGCTAGTCGACCTGGCCAAAGCGGGGCAGATTGCCATTAGCGAAGACGTTGCAGACTACTTGGGAACACGTGGACATTTTGAAGAGATCAGAGGAGTCATCGGAGCAATGCTTCTCAGTGATCTAGAACTCGACAACATGCTTTTGGAAGCCATGGATCAGCATATTCTCGATTCCAAAGCGGCGCGATCCCTAAAGAGGATCAAGGGATCCGAAGAAGACTTTATACATCCCAATGTCCTCCGCTTGCTCAAGTATGGAGGTCTTTCACCAACAAACATTGCTCAAATGCGAAACCTTTGCGTGCTTTTCATTGGGATGACTTCCAGTGGGAACTCGGTCAATTGGTTAATGGAAGTGCAGGGTGTCTTGGATCGATACCGTTGCCCCATCATCCAGATCATCGACGACGACAAGGGCACACACGTGGTTGCGGCGGTCAATCTCTGTGAGTCTGTCCCGGAATCTGCCGTTCTGGGTCTCGATGCCTGTCGGGAGCTAGTCAACAAACAAATTGGTTGCGCCATTGGTGTAGCCATGGGATCCACATTTTGTGGTGTGACTGGTTCCAGTGACATTGCTTGTAGGTGGGATATCACTGGTCCGCATCCGGTTCGTGCTGCTCGTTTGATGCAATACGCTCTGTTGAACGGTTTCGAAGTTGCTATTGATGAATCTCTGTTGGAGGACCCAATGGCGGCGACGAGAATGACGACTCTTGATACAGTCGTCGAAATTAAAGGTTCTCCGGAACCTTGTACAGTCTACGGACTCTCCGGATCAAAACTGTATTCAGTCTTTCGAGTGATGGAGAATCACGCAGAAAGGGTGCACAACAGAGCGGTACATCAGGTTCGGAAATGCATCAATACTGGTCGCACACGGTGCGGAGTAATCCTCACGGGGTCACTCTTTGCTGGAAAGAAGGCGGTTTGTCAACAAGCTGCAAGTCTAAGCGATCTCGTACCATTCACCCATGTATGCAACGAAACCGCTGGACTGGCCCAGTTGGCTCGAACGATTGCAGTTTGGTTCGCGTATGTAGAAAACGAAAGCATCAAGAAGCAAGCACTCTCAGTTCTGGATCACATGGACAACTCGAGGTGGAGCAAAGCTCACGATGAATGTGTCGACCTCGTTCACGCGGCGGTGGATGCCGGGCTACGGGCTTGCTTTGTGGTTGACCGTATCCAATTTCTGGATAGCTTTAGCTTGTCTGTGATGCGTGGTTGCCTGGAGGGGAAGTCGAATGCTCGTGGGGAAGGATGTTCGACAGGTTCATCCATCCAACGTGTTGGTAATGGCGAAAGCAACGACAGTGGATCGGACTGGTCGCGCGGCTCCTTTAAGGGGGCAAGCTCATATCGAAAGGGGAAGGTTGTCTTCCTTGGATGTCACTTAGCGCTTTGTAAGTCTTGCCTGTCCCTGGGAAGGTTTCCTGGGGCCTTTCCAACGACTGCGTTGATGTTTTCTCACATGTTGCTCGCGCTTGAACTTTGTTGCAGACAACCGAAAATCAGCTGAGGAGATGAAAGACGACATTACTAGATCGCGGCGGACTTTTCGAGTCCGTGTTGTCGAGGTTGGGCAATGCTCCAATGCAGAGCTGAAAACCCTCGTAAGAGAAAAGTGCGACCTCGAGGCTGATGAACGTTGGTTGCGATGTCACAAGGGAGCCAGTGGTGTATCGATGGCCTATTTTTGGGAACGGGCGAAAGCTACCCGCAGACAGTCTGCTTCCGATGCATTCAGGATGGGCAGAGATGAAGTCACAAAAGGATTAAAACTCAACATCCCCACTGGACACATTCAACATTGCCAACACTTTCCTCTCTCCGAGATATCGGCTGACTTTGCCATGAAGACTCTCCAGCTTTTCGACGATCTGCCGCCTCTGTTTCAAACACTGACGAAGGTTATTGCTATAGCGACAAGAAAGGCTGGCTTCATGATCCCCTCGATGATTGTCTGGAAGGTTATGAATGATTTGTATGGGTAAGCGAAGGAATGGCAATTATTACGTCCCATGGTGACTACATTGCCCCCTCACAAAGTGCTTTCCCCGTATCTCCTGCAGTGACCTTGATTCAGCACGCTTCGCGACTGTCATTGGCGAACTGAAGGACATGTATCTCTTGAAGATCGTGGTGGACAGAAACATGGACAAAGTATATTTTGCCTGCCCCATTCTTGCAGAAGTTGCCATGAGTGTCTGTACACCGTCACAGATCCGAGTGATATCAGAGGCGCTTGTGAAGAGGCTAGAGTCCATGGTTGCACATGAGTTCCGGGTGCCTCTTGTGCTTGCAGATCTCTATCATGAGCTTGGGAGGAGCGCCAATCGTCAAAAGAAGTGCTACTATGCGGCTTACAAAGCCTTCATTAAGGAACATGGGGAGGACCCTCATGCGTCCCCGCTGGAGAAAGATTGGTGGCTAGAGTACTTTTCAGATGTTGTCCAGCTTGCTGGGTATTCTACGGCTCAAGTCCTCGGCCCAACCTTTGTCGCCCCGGTTATTTCAGAGGCTGCTGCGCCAGATGATATCATGCGGCTGAAGCAATACATAGCTCCGGTCACATTTGGCCCGCTGGGCCAGACGCTGTCAGCAATTGGCAGAACCATCGTCCAAGAGTACGGCGCTCATGCCCGTGATGATGGTGCAGCCCAACTGAAGCATGCGGAAGAACTAGCGGCAATATGCAATAGGTATTTGCAGCAAGTTGGCACCATGGAGGACTACCTTGGCGAAGAAGGAATGCAAGCCACAGAGTCGGAACTGGAAGAAGAGAGAAACTTGCTCCAGTATTTGGCTTCGCCGGGCACTTCAGAAGAACATGTATTGTCCAAGTCAGAACGATTTCAAAATGCTCTCCTGGCTGACCACGTTTCACCTCGGTGGGAACGAATCCGTGACTACATGTCTTGTGTCGTTGGGACCCCGGAACCAGTTACTTCTTGTAAGGACAGTGCCATCGGGCTTGCATATGAAAAAACGGTGCGGGGGAAATGTTGGAAGGACAAGCTGGAGGATGCGCTGATGGCCATGGCAGTATCAAATTGGAAGCCCAGGCCCGTTCCCGAGTGCAAGAGTCTTCCTTTGCCGTACTTGCAAACGATTTGCAAGGTACGCGACACATTTCTCATGCAGACGAGCGATATGGGGCAGAGCGACCTCGAACATTTTCACCATCGGTACAAGTTCAGCGATTTTCAAGCCTTTTTGATCATGACTGCGCTGCTGTACAATGCAATGGACCAGCAGATCGGAGCACCGCCTCGTCCATTGCTCACACGACAAAATAGCGTCGGCAGTGACCTCAGCTTGACCAAGGAAGAAGACACTGACTTTGAGAGCGATGGCGACTCGTAGATTATTAGGAGCTATGATTGTATACGGTACCTTACCGTATCATAAAGAGTAATCTTACCATTAGATTTGCATTCCAAGAAACGTCCAGGGCTCTCCTCTCGTGCTGACTCTCAGGTATGATGGCTCATTCTGCCACTTATTTATGTTTCCGTGGATCCAGCGAAGTCAAGCCCTGTGGCCCCTGTGCTGGTCCTCATTTGTTGCAATCATTCCACGGAACCTTGTCCCCACTTCCACCTCTTCTTTGCCCAGTGTGGCCCTTCGTGGGCTTCCATGGACACCTTCCCCACTCTGAACCCGCCTTTGTGTGCAACTACCAGAGCGCTGGCTAGACTGAACAAAACTCGTCCATCAGCTGCGTCCAACGGTCCCCGGAATGATTCGATTCTTCAAAGGCCACGGTCAATTCCTCGTTGTTGCGCTCTTCTTGTCACAAGCGGAGAATGGATGCCGTACCGCTGGTACGTTCATCAGCATCGACTCGTTGTTGTTCCTCAACCTCGACAAGTGGTTCTTCAGCTACCACTTGGCCAGCCACGAATTCGTAATCCGGATCGTCCGAGGCAATGCCTGCCTCCAATCGCAGTGTCTTGTGCCGCCGCATGAATTCCTTGACAAGACGTCTCCACCATCCTTCATCAATGCTGCGAGAATGTGGTTGGGTTCCACTCCAAGTAGCACACCATTCATCATTCGCATCTCCAATACAAATGGTTGTTGCCCATGCACACTGATCTTGAAGTGTTTCACATGCCACTTTTGAACGTATGGGACCACTGCTGTGCATGTGGGAACCACTGCTGCTCCGCATGTGATTGTGGCATCGTATGCCATCTTGTTGTCGTCAACGGTCGAGACTTTTTCTATTGCCTCTGTTACAGCCTCGACGTCTTTAGTTGTTGTGGTTGTTCTCCTACTACCGGTACTACTTGTGCTGCATCTTCCATGCAGACATCCTTGACCTTGCGATAGACAAATCGTCGTTTGGCAATGTTTGGCAATCTGTTCTCGCGTATTCAAGGTGCAAATTTCGTCGTCAGCGTTGCGCTGAATTCCACCGTGATGCCACATGGCGAGTTCGAACATGTAAGTGTTCACCTCGGCAGGTAAACTGCCTGAGTTCTCAACCCCTTTACCTCGGCAGGTTAACTGCCTGAGTCCTCTACCCCTTTAATGGCAAATAATCTGTCTGTGGGATCCCCCTGGTTTTTGTCTGTGGGATCCCCTCATTTTGTGTCTGTGGGATCCCCCTCATTTCCTGTCTGTGGGATCCCCTATTCCGGTGAAGCCAGGGTATAAGGATAGAGGATAATGTAAGCTGGCAAAACTGGAATTGAAGGTTCAATAAAAGTTAGGGGTAGAATATATCAATGTAATTTAAGTTAGTGCACTCAGGACAAAAACACAATAAGCCAGCAGGTGTTGTAAATTTAGAGTTACACGATCGAATGATAGTTGTAAATTATGGGTTAGCCCGTGGCAACGCCAATGCTAGCTTAATATAAAACAGAAGGTTACAATGGGGAATGATAGTGGGCGGCAACACACGACGAAGTCGGGTGTTGTCGCCAGGGCTAGCTAAATAAAAAGAAGGTTATAATGAGGAATGATACAGGGCGGCAACACACGACGAGTCGGTGTTGTCGCAGGGCTACCTTGAAAGAAGGATGCAATCTCAAACACGATCCTCTTCTTCTATTTGTCTTTCTGCCGAGGTATCGCAGCTCCGCTGACTTAAATGCTATTTCCTTTTCTATTCCGGTGAAGCCAGAGTATAAGGATAGAGATAGTCATAAGCCAACAAAACTGAACATTGATGGTTCAATACAAGTTAGGGGTAGGAATAAATCATTAATATTTAAGGTTAGTGCAATCATCACAACAGCACAATAAGCCAGCAGGAGCTGTAAAGGTTAGAGTTACAATAGGGAATGACAGCTGGTAAATTATAGAGTAGCGGGCGGTAACACACGACGTAGTCGGGTGTTGTCGCCAGGGCTAGCTTAATAAAAAGAAGGTTGCAATGAGGGAATGAATGATACCGGGTGGCAGCACACGACGTAGTCGGGTGTTGTCGCCAGGGCTAGCTTGAAAGATGGGTGCAATCCGAACATAATCCTCCTTCTTCTATCTGTCTTTCTGCCGAGGTATCGCAGCTCCCGCTGACTTATTTTCGTTGACCATGAACCAGTGGGCGACTTGCTTGTCGTTTCCTTTCTTGGCCTTGATGAAACGAACAAGTCCTTGGAGGTGAAAGGGCCCAAAATCAGGGTTTTAAGAATCCAATTAAATTGATCAATTCCAATCTAAAATATAAAATCGAAACCTAAATATAAAATCGAAACCTAAATATAAAACTGAAACCAAATTACTATGGTAAATAACTAGTAAAATCAAACCGAAACCCAAATATCAAACCGAAACCCAAATATAAAGCAGAATTACCTCGGCAGTCTATCTGCCTGAGCCCTCTACCCCTTTTTTGGTATTTCCTATTTCCTATTTCCTATATCCTATATCCTATTTCCTATTTCCTATTTCCTATTTCCTATTTCCTATTTTCTATTTCCTATTTCCTATTTCCTGTTCCGGTGAAGCCAAAATATAGGGATAGAGATAGGTGTAAGCCAACAAAACTGGAAATTGAAGGTTTAACAGGTTTAAGGGTAGGAATAAAATCATAATTATTCAAGGTTAGTGCACTCATCACAATAAGCCAGCAGAAGCTACAAAGGTTACAGTTACATAAGGGAATGACAGCTGTAAAGTTATGGTTATCGGGCGGCAACATACGACGAAGTCGGGTGTTGTCGCCAGGGCTAGCCTAAATAAAAAGAAGATTACAATGAGGGAATGATACTGGGCGGCAACACACGACGAAGTCGGGTGTTGTCGCCAGGGCTAGCTTGAAAGAAGAGTGCAATCTCAAACATGTCATCCTTCTTCTATTTGTCTTTCTGCCGAGGTATCGCAGCTCCCGCTGACTTAACATGTAAATCGTGATTTCGGGCCCTTTCGGTCTTGATGCAGGGCATCAATTTGAATGCACAGTTTGGCTTGTTTTAGGTAGGCTTTGTCGCTTTGGAACCATTTGACCTCGGCAGTCTATCTGCCTGAGCCCTCTACCCTTTTTTGGTATTTCCTATTTCCTATTTCCTATATCCTATATCCTATTTCCTATTTCCTATTTTCTATTTCCTATTTCCTGTTCCGGTGAAGCCAAAATATAGGGATAGAGATAGTCATAAGCCAACAAAACTGGAAATTGAAGGTTCTACAAATTTAGGGGTAGGAATAAATCATGATCATTCAAGGTCAGTGCACTCAACACAATAAGCCAGCAGAAGCTACAAAAGTTACAGGTACGGGAGTGACAGCTGTAAAATTATGGTTAGGGCTAGCTTCAACAAAAAAGAAGGTTATAATGAGGGAATGATATCGGGCGGCAACACAAAAACGAAGTCGGGTGTTGTCGCCAGGGCTACCTTGAAAGAAGGGTGCAATCTCAAACATGATCCTCTTTCTTCTATTTGTCTTTCTGCCGAGGTATCGCAGCTCCCGCTGACTTATTGTTGGTGATCCAGCAGGCCACTTGTTGGTACTGTACCATCCATACGGTAGTACAGCTGTACACTTGAATCGAATCAAATGCACGAGATCTATCGCCATGACTCTAAGCAGAGCAATGTGGAAGCACACTTGCTCCTGCCTGGACTGGTACGTCACCGTAGATAGGGTTAGGGTTATCAGGAGAACAGTCGCAGCAGGAGCCAATCCAAGCCACACATTGCTGGTAGCCACCAATCGATCGAAGAGGACAATGGCGTCCTTTTCCATTGCTGGTAGCCACCAATCGATCGAAGAGGACAATGGCGTCCTTTTCTTTCCTTTCGAACGGCTACGGCTACTAGCTACGTTCAGCCATTGCTATGGCTACTACGGCTACTATCAGCCGGTCACAGCCATGCTGTTCCGGTCTCTGGAGCCTTGTTATTGGTTGAACGATCGATCTTTTTCGGTCTTTTCGTGTGCTTTTCACGATGACCGATCGATCCTTTCGTGTGCTTTTTCCACACGATAGTCGTGTGCTTTTTCCACACGATGGCCCTGATGCGTTCACCACCTGGTGATTCGCTAGCCACAAATGGCGAGTCACCGACTGGTGCTCCCACCCAACCTCGGCCTTAGTTCACCAACTGGTGCTTCTCTAGCCACTGCCATGATGCGTTCACCGCCTGGTGTTCGCTAGCCCCAACGGCGAGTCACCGACTGGTGCTCCCACCCAACTCTCATGATCGACCGCTGTTGTCGCCATGCGTCCCGACCCCAGGGCCATGGTCGATCTTCGCGATTTTTTCGCGATTTTCAACAACAACAGATCGGCCCTTAAGTCTTCGACTGATCGGCCCCTAAGTCTTCCCCGGACTACCGCCTAATTCTTGCGCTCTTGGCAAGATTGGTGTCCCTTATGTCTTCGAACTGGTGACTGGGTTGTTATCCCCACTTTAAAAATCCGGAATCCGACTGACGTCAGTCGCCGATGACGTCAGTCGTGACCGGACGTGATGACGTCACGTTTCGTGACGTGTTTTCATCCATGCTTTCGAAATTTTAAGTCGATGCATGAAAAGTCCTTCGCGCGAAGACGATGCTTGAAAAGGACTTGGGGGCCTCTAAGTCTTTGAATTCCCCCTCTAAGTCTTTGTCCCACCCCCTAAGTCTTCTACCCACCGATGACTTTGCGCCGCGAGACTTTTGTCCAGGTGGTGCTAGTGACTTGTACTGTTCCACACCACACACTACAAAGCCACACCACCCAACACAGTGACAGCCTTTGATGCCTGACAGCATGGTACCTGACCAGGCACCTGTGTCAGAGATTGAGGTTGACTCATTGCAATGGATCCCCAGTTCAAAGCTACTGGGCTGGTAGCCTTTTGGTTCCTTGGATTGGGTTCAAGCCCTGTGCAATCCTACAGCAACAGTACAAGCCTGGGCTACTGTGGTGGTGGCCCTGGTTCCTCCCATTCCAGGCTATGCAGTGCAACACTATGAGGTCATAATCCCAATCCTGAAAGCTTC